ATTTAACCACTGACACACCACAAACACTTAGATCACTATTATTAGATGATGCATAGAAGAAGATTAACCGGGGAGTAACCGTAAATTTCCAAAGTACAGGTAATACACAACCTGAACTTTCACCGTTTGTTATGTAGTTTCTCTGCACATGTACGTACTCGAGTTAAACAAGTAACTCCCAACAGCTAAATCATTCCCTGTCAAATAAGACAACATAAAGATGTTCATATGTGGAGAGAGCTGTCTACTAGCCAAATTGGTAGACAGTAATTTACGTCAATATTTACGTTCCCAAGATTTGTCATGAGAAAATGTGAACAAAGATTGACTTTGCGTAGGCGGATGCAGTTAACATATAGAGGATTTGACATTCAAGAAACAGTCACAAATAGATGAAAGATTAACTTTACGTGAGAAACAACCAATCGGAAGACTGTGTTTGTTTGCTTAAATATCCAAAGTAATGTACATGAAAATATATAAATATGCGTTGATTTCCTTAATAAATGATCTGTTGCCTGACTCTTGCCTTCTGTTGTTACATTTGGTGTCGCTGCCTGTCGCGAAATGAAAGTCCCATGGCCTGCAGCTTTTGAAGAAGGAGACATATGGATCTGCTTAAGGGACTTCGAAGCTATTGCAGAGTTGAATGGCGTGCAAGAGCCATCAGCGAAGACGGTTGTTCTTGGAACGCTACTGAGAGGCCGGGCGAAGGCAGCATATGATAGTGTGAAGCAAACAGAGGGGCAACCAACTTGGAAGTCAGTGGTGGAACGCTTGAAGCATGAGTTTGACAGCCCAATGGACCGAGAGCGGGCAATGCAGCAGTTTCGCACCATGAAGCTGGGAGTTGACGGTGACCCTTTGGTATTGGCGCTGACCTTGACAAGCCTACTTCGTCGCGCTCTACCAACACTGGACGAAGATTCTGAGGCACAAATGTTGGCATCCCAGTTTATGGAGAGTGTCCCAGAACATATATCCCAACAGCTACATCTGGTTAACGCCGTACAGCCACTGGACATCGGAGAGCTTGCGAAGGTGACCAGACAACTGTTGAGTAAGACGGTTGCAGCGGTAGAGCCACCAAAATCCGAGCAGTGTGAGAAACAAATCGAAGAGTTGCAACGTGAAGTGGCTGCGCTGAGACTGAGCGTGCGGAGAGATCGTTGTTTTGCATGTAGCAAACTGGGGCACTGGAGAGACCGCTGCCCGGAAAGACGACAAAGAAGAATTTTTAAAAGATATACTGTGTCTTCTTCCTGTGGTCCGAGACTTGAGGTAACAGGGGCGATGGAGAAGGAGGCAATATATTCGAAGTTACGGGTAAATGATCGCGAGTTGGTGTGTTTAATCGACACAGGGGCTGCAGTCTCACTCGTAGATAGGAGTGTATGTGAGAGTATAAGACCGTGTTCGTTGACAGTGCAGACAGTAGGCGGTCACGTGTTAGGAATTGCGGGAGTTTCAGACTGCAGGGTTAGAATTGGAGAGGATTGCGTGACGTTCTCATTCCTAGTGGTACCTGAATTGCGCCGAACAATCCTTGGGGCCGACTTTTTGCGAGAAGTGGATGCAGTGATTAACATGAAGAAAAGGGTTGTCGTTACGAAGTACGGGTGTTTTAGCATGCACGAGAATAGTGAGGTAGCAGGGATTGCGGCATCGGAAGTCCGAAGTATAGCAAAGTTACTCAGCAAATACGATCATCTGTTTACTGGAGATGGGGACCCACACGGTTATTGCGATAAGGTGAATCATGAAATTCCGTTAAGTGGCCCGAAAGTAACGTCATTTACCACGCGAAGAGTTCCATGTCATTTAGAAGGCGAAGTTGAGCGACAGGTGCGAGAGATGTTAAAAGATGATATTATTGAAGAAGCTGATAGCCCGTAAAACTCTCCAGTGCTGTTAGTAAAAAAGGCGAATGCGAAGTATAGATTCTGCGTTGATTTTCGACAGTTAAACAGTATGACAGAGTTAAGACCGTGTGCCATGCCAACAGTAGTAGAAACTTTAGATCACCTACAAGGCGCAAATTTGTTTTCAGTTCTCGATCTTCGCTCAGGATACTGGCAGATACCGATGAAGCCAGGGGATAGAGATAAGACGGCATTCATCGTGGGTCAGACACAATATCGATTTAAACGCATGCCGTTTGGACTAGCAGGTGCACCGTTCACGTTCAGACGACTGATGACGCTATTACTTAAGAACTTGAAAAACGTTGAGGTGTACGGTGATGATCTCGTCATATATAGTCAAAACGAAGACGATCATGTGAACCATGTGGAAGCCGTGCTACGACGCATCGAAGAGTTTGGACTGCGCGTCAACAAAACCAAGTCTCAGATAGCCAAAAAGAATGTAACTCTTTTGGGACATAAAGTGGGAAATGGTGAGATTAAACCACTACCGGAGAAAATCTTGACGATAAAGACAATCCCGGTCCCGAATTCAAAGAGAAAATTGAGACAATCCTTAGGTAGAGCAGCGTTTTATAGTCGCTTAGTGAAGAACTTCAATGAGATAGCAGCCCCTCTGTACAGGCTACTAGGTGAACCGAAGTTTGTTTGGTCGGAAGAATCGCAGAAGACATTCAACAGGATTAAACAGCTGCTCGACCACCAACAAATGACACTAAAGCTACCTGTAGCTGGAAGACAGTTCACAGTGTGCACAGATGCCAGTGACTACGCCATAGGTGCGGTCCTAAGACAGGGTGAGGGAATCGTTGAGTATGCCAGTCGGGTTTTGACACACACAGAGTGAAAGTATTCAACGATAGAGAAAGAATGTTTAGCGATGGTATGGGCAATCGACAAATGGAGACCTTATTTACTCGGCCGGTGGTTCCACATCGAAACGGATCATAAGCCGCTACAGTTTCTGAAGACAGCGAGAGACCCACGAGGGAAATTGTCACGGTGGATGTTGCGTCTTCAGGAGTACGATTTTACCATCTCACAAGTTCCTGGAAATGAAAATGTCTTGGCAGATTTGTTATCGAGACCAGAAGACGAGTCTGAGTTGCCCGAGGTCGCGTACGGAGTGCATGCAGTAGAACAAGACCCACTAAGACTGGCACGCAGACAAAGGTTGGACGATACGCTGAATACAGTAATACAGGTGATCACTAACGGAATAGAAGTGGATCCAGCTACAGCGAGTAAGGAGCTAACCACACTACTCAGACAGAGAGATCGACTAAGAGTGAATGTCTACGGGACTCTGACCTGGCGAGGGGACGACGGAAGCTGGCTAGCTGTCATACCTCAGTCGTCGCGCCACGACATGATAGAAGAATGCCACCAGCTAGCACATACCGGAGTGGCTAGAACAACCGACCTCTTGAGACAAAGTATGTACTGGCCAGGTATGAGAGAAGACTCAGCAAGATATGTACTTGGATGTCCACGGTGCCAGCTAATGAAAGGCGACCGGTGCTTACGACCACCACTTCAGTCGATTCCAGTTACGGCGATAGGTGACTTGTGGTCCGTAGATGTTATGGGTCCATTTCCTCAGACATCCAATGGTAATCAGTACCTCTTGGTGATGACGGAACACGCGACACGATGGGTAGACGCCGTAGCAATCCCAGACCAACGCGCAAGGACCGTGACAGATGCAGTAGTTAGACACATCGTTGCAGACCATGGCGTACCAAAGACAATACTGACAGACCAAGGTCCGTGTTTCGAAAGTGAAGAATTTACTTCCCGTTTGCAACAGCTTGGCATCAAGAGGATCCGAACGACACCATACCATCCACAAACGAATGGCCTGACGGAGAGAAACAACCGTACGCTGAAGGAGTGGCTGGCCTCGAAGGGCGGTAACTGGGAAACGGAGCTGCCACTGATTTTACTAACACATTGTGCCACCACCCAGGAAACAACGAAAAAGTAACCATTTCAACTGATGTATGGTAGAAAACCACGATTACCGATACACAACGGAACCTGGCCCCTTCACCAAAAGTGGAGTACGACGAAATTAAAAGCAGAACGGAAAGAAGCCGTCAAGAATGTAATGCAGAAGCAGCGGAGGGATGTCGCGAAGTCTCAGCTGAGAGAAAAGACTCAGTGCATTACCTTCTCAGTCGGGGACCAAGTGAAGTGTAGAGACAGAAGATATGCTGTCGGATGCGGGCCAGGTTCACGCAAACTCCTTCCAAAGTGGGAAGGACCATACACAGTCACAAAAAGACGGGGTCAAGTATATACCATCAAAAGAGGTGACAAACAAAAACGAGTTAACGCCAGTCAGATCCAACGATGGGTGCATTGGGACAAGCCGGTCTGTAACAATCATCAACGAGAGAACGCATCACCCAGAAGGTCGGAACGCCTGCGCGCGAAGCTATTTGACGGGGGGACGAGTGTGGTGAGAGCTGTCTACTAGCCAAATTGGTAGACAGTAATTTACGTCAATATTTACGTTCCCAAGATTTGTCATGAGAAAATGTGAACAAAGATTGACTTTGCGTAGGCGGATGCAGTTAACATATAGAGGATTTGACATTCAAGAAACAGTCACAAATAGATGAAAGATTAATTTTAAATATCCATAGTAATGTACATGAAAATATATAGATATGCGTTGATTTCCTTAATAAATGATCTGTTGCCTGACTCTTGCCTTCTGTTGTTACACATACAGACATCTACAACAAGATGAAATATGAGCACAGAGAAGAAATGACCTTAATGCACTTATTGTCGGTTATCAAACAACAAATTTTCAAATATACGTCTTCGTTTACGGTTCATCGTGCAAAAAGACTTTCTTGTCTGGTTTACACCGAATGAGAAGTATTTTAGGAGGAGGAGGCTGTGTCCCAGAATACGAGGATTTCCATCAACGGAAATATATATAAGTGAAATTCGTTGAAACGTATTCCACTTAAGGACACCATTAAAAGTTTGATAATGTAAAAAAAGCATCTCTGATTAAATTCTTGAATAACACGAGAAAAACTCAAAAAATAAACTTACTTTTATGACTGAAGTGATTTGATTTGTCAGAGATGCAGTAAATTTCGAATAATCAAACGGAATTTCTTTGGCAGTAGAAACTTGATTTAAATCTGTCAACACAGAAAACATTTTACAATTAGTAATACAATTTGAGAAAAGAGATTGCAATTTTGGTAACCGCTATTGAGATTATTGTGAAAAGAAATAATCACTATCAACTTAGAGCCGTTTCCGTTACAAATCTATTGGCTAAACATTAGGATTGGCATCTGTTTCTACTTAGAACCATGGGACAAATAATAATAAATGAGGTATTTGAAACATATGTGCACAGATCAACAAGGTTAGATTAGTTAATCTAAGTGTTGGAATTTAATTGGTGGATGATAACTAGCAGTGGAATCCAGGATCCACATTTCATCCCATTTGGAGCTCATCATCTAGTTGCACCTGCATTCCCCAGTGAGTGATGATATTCCCACCGAGGCTCAAACCCAGAGCCCAAAGTTTCAAACGCCAAAGCGTTATCCACTAGACCACTTGGGCCACGAGAGCCACCTCTTGTGCAACGGGTCATATTATTAATTATTTTATTCAATTTTAGATTTTCCCATCGATTGATTGGACCGAAGTGTTCAGTCTCAGGTTGACATACACCAAATAGGACGAAATGCGCATCCTGGATTCCACTGCTTGTCACCATCCACCAATTGACTTCTAATTACATGCCCAGCATCTGCACGAGAAGCTGACATGTCAACTTGAGACAGAGCACTTTAGTCCAATCAATCGGCGAGAAAATCTAAAACTGAATTAAATAAGTGTTGGAATGCCACTCCACAAATTTAACCGCTAGGAAATCAAGGTCTATCGATCAATTGTTCTTGAGATTGTGGATAGGTATACATTTGACATTTCCAATCGTATAAATCATCGTTAAATGACAGTAACAATCCTCTGTTTCTTAAAGATTAACTACTATGAAAATGAACTGTTACTGACACTGTAGCATATGCCCTCAACACTAGGTAGAGTGGAGAAAATAATGACGGTTACGATAAAGTAAGGGTAACAGGAATTTCATTTAATCTTCAGTTGGTATAATTAATGATGTAAAGTCATAATGTATCTGATGATTTAATCATTTCTATAATGAGATAGATAATAAAACATTTTCGCAGTGATTAAATTACCATCGAAATACCTACAACTTGGGTTGAAGGCATTAAGTGCTATAATAACTGGTATTAATAGCGGTAATGTTATGAATAATCATAATACAGATGAAAGCATAAAGTTGTCTCACAACCGCCGAAAACGTATGCATACAGTTTCGTCCTAGATTACACACCTCTGAAAAGAATAGCTGCATAGCATACAAGCAAAGAGTAAAAAGCATATGTAAAGTATGTCTTTCTAGCACCTCCTATGGCTGTGTTTCTGTGATATAGTTAAATTTGTCAATAATGAAAGAATGTTATAAAACTTAAGAATCACGTGGATTTTTATTCAACCTGATGGCCTGCTTAAATCACTAGGCTACCACCACCCATCACAGTAGATTAAATTTTCTCCAAACCTTATTGTTTTAATTATTCAATTGTGTCTTTCATTTGCAAAATGTACTCAAGCACATTTTCAATTGGCTTTCGAACTACTGCTCTGTATTTCTCAAAATACAGGAAAGAAAAATATCATAAAGTGTCGGTTTTTTATTTTGATGGAACAGCACTAAGCCACGCGATATCCTGCCGATTACTATTTTACCCTAGACGAAGAGTAAATATCGTGTAGTAAAATATCTTCAGACTTCTGTACAGTGTATAAACACTGTGTTTAGGATAAAGCTTTTATTGTTATTATCACTACTCACTGGACAATGGATCCACAATCATGTCTGATATCACTTAGCTTACAGAAATAGACACCTAAGTCAGCAATCGACAGTTTTCCCCCGATTGTGTTTTACATATAATCAACGGTTTTATAACACCTAGGTAAAAAGTCTCGATCCCGAAATTGTACTTGTAACCAATGAAGAAGTGGTGGAACCTTTTTTGAGAAGGCCATGTTTGGTAGGAGCGTTAATTGACTTGTATTTCTGTATTATCGTTTGAATAACTCTTATATCTAACCAGCAGTAAATGTTTACACATTTTGAAAAAAGCTGGACAGAAAAAAAATGACATACATTGTTGTGTGCCCGTCTGGAAAACTTCGTTCAAATCGGTGAACAACATTTTAATGCCTTTTTCCAAAGCTGGCACGAATATTTTATTCAATGAATCTCGATAGGATGAAGAAAGTTCATTGGTAAGCGGTCCAGAAACAGATCGTACAATCTGTGCAGTGAAGTTCTTTAAGAATGTAAACAAAACATTTTAATTACAAAATATCTTTACTTATACATACATATAGATATTGCATTACACTTAAACTAAATTACAGGATTGTAATTATATTCAGAAGAACGATCAAAAAGAAAGAACACATTGTATTTAGTGATCTGATTTATCTGTAATAGTCATTCAATCAAAAATAAGAGAATGGTTGAAAGGCAGTAATAGAAGAAAGCAGTCTGTTTGGGTTTTAATATGTTACTGCACACGGAGAGTACCTGTGTAATAAAACTCACGTTTAAGTGAATTGTTTTACGAGAAATTCAAACTCCTTTTCTATTTTGTTGTGCATTTGTCTCATTTGTAGTACGATTAAAGAAGACTAGCTACGTCGAACCAAGACTAATGCATGTGTGAAGAGATTACAGAAAAACTATCCGTCTATAAAAGTCAATGTAATCCTTTAGAAAGATGAAGTAATCGATAAGTTGAGTAAGTTTAAATTTTCGCTGTCGAGTTAAGCAGTAGCAAAGCTTTACTTTATGTTCACTAAAACATTTTCTCATACATTTACTCATGCTTATACACATCATTCTTTTAGATCAGCCCAAATGCTTTCTGTGTACAGAAATTGGTTCAAACTAAATTCACATCTAAAAATCTTATGAAGTTAGAAGGTGATCTGTGATATTTCTGATGGGAGGTGAAGAGTAAGACATCCTTGTAAAGGATAAGTTAGTGTAATGGCATCAGCTTAGTCAGCTGTCATTCGATTTTGGAAAGTCTGATTCGTTAGTAGCACAATATCACTGTTTGATACTGCTTTTCGACAATGAATTGTATCTTAAGCTAGAAACATACTGTCTATGCTTTTCTATCAAAGAAACAGAGAAATATGATTGTTACACCTTTAAGTGACTTGTAATAAAATTATGACTCTGAATAAGTTGGTAAGCATCACCTTATAATCTGAAGAATAAAAGAATCCTCATGACTGAACAAGATAATAAGAAGCTGCCAAGAATGTGTCAAAAATTTCTTTTTTCTGTCAATAATACGATATGAACTCTAGTCACCCAGATTCTTCCCCATTAAATTCAACTGTATAGACACTGAAATGAGAGGACCCAGACGGTCAGTTAATATGATGGCTACTGTTACTTTTGTAAGCCGTAAATGAGTACAACAACCAGTTTATCGCCAGTATCTCTAAATTTGTGCTCATTGGTTAACAAACTGACCGGGACACTTACCCGCTTTAGATCCCGTATATTTTTCTTAATTTTGATTATTACATTGATGACAATTCATTATTATTATGCTTCATCAAAAGAGCAGGATTTACAACATATTCGGCTCCGTTCCACTCAGAACCCAAGGGAATAATAATATAATTGAGGCTGTTAGAAACAATCAGAGGTCCATATCCACCAAGGGTTACCTATTCGTCAAATCTACGATAACCAATCAGCCACATCGCAGAAGTAATCATAATAATACCGCCAAGGATATAACAGTGATGAATACTTCATCATCCACAACCTATATGCATAACAGTTATGCGAAATTCAAGTAGCTGGAGTGAATATGATAGCGAATCAGCAATAAACAAAGCAGCTATTCAGTATACTAAATGTTGTAAATTCAAACAGTATCACAGCATGCTTCAATCCTAATAACCATTTGTTTGTGAGATCAGTTTAGTGTAAGCGCGTCAGAAGAAACCACGCATAGAGAAAAGTGTATAGATACTTCCTAATAGCACCAATATGAATATCACCAGTCACCAAATAATAAGTAGCAGGAAGCTTACCTTATCGCGCAATGTACGTTGAACATTTTCCGCTAAATTCGAAGTCAAAGTAGATAAACTTTCTTGTATAGCACGATGCAATGCTTCACGTAACGGCTCCGTTATGCTTAAGATATCTAAGGAAAAAACATGTACATCATATAAACGATGAAGAAAATGCCAGATATTCAAACGCATATTTTTTATTAGTTGATGAAACTACATTCAACAAAAAAGCAGGTTGAAGATGAGGCAGTAACTCATCGAAGAAGACATTGGGAAATGGTCGCGCTATATCGTGAATTGGCAGAAGTTAGAATTCAAGGACCATTGGATAGGGTCCCAGTGGCTCAATGGTCTACGAGCTTGCCTTGTAATGTACCCAGAAGGTCCTGGGTTCGAATCCCGGTGGGCGCATACTGATGAAGAGTCCCAAACTAGGACGAAACAGCCATCCAGTACTGCCAGGTTTTCCAGTGGTTCTCTAACTGATGTCAGCTCATGATGAAATCCTCCATGCAATACTTGAAAAAAGAATTTCTTGATGTAATTCTATAAGGAGATGTGGTTCACTTGAATAAGCAGCCAATTCTCAAATATACTATTGACAGTTCTAAACCCACGTCATTTTTTGGTTTCGGAGAGCCATCCAGCATGATTAGATATCACACAGTAATAATAATAATTTGTATCTCTTGTAAACGGGTGTTTACAAGATATGCTTGCAATTTTTACAGGCATGATCACGTGTGTTATAAATTACAATCGTGAAGTGTTATAAATAAATACTTTTACAAAAGTTTAAATTGTTTGGTAATGGTACAAGCGGTGTGACATTTATTTATGACACTCAAGGACATCAACTAAATACTACCATATGGAATTCTCGAACAAATTCAAGTAACTAAAATTATCATGATCATATATTTCAGTTTTAGCGTGAAAATCCACCCTCTGCACCGACAGTAACTGTGTTTATGTAGCGAGTGGGCTTGTAATTTCGAATAGTCCTATGAATCGTTGAGAGGACACAGTATAGAATAGTACACAATCCTTTCTCACGAATCATGTGATTTGTCTTGTGATGAAGTTACTATGTGGATCAGTCTATCATTTTTCACGCATATTGTGATTTAGTGTGTGTGATCAATTCATCGTCTTTTGTCTCATTTTGGTCTTTGTCGGATCACCAACCTATCAAAATAGAAATCTCCAGACAATAAGAATAGTGTATTCCCACGGTTGTGAGCCAACTGTATTGTGATAAATACACAAATATGATGTTCTGTTTCCTAATAGAGATATATAATACAATATCAAACAGTCAGTCACAGGCCAGTCTTTGTCTTTTGATATTTGCGTGACTCAGTGAGTCGGAAGGTACAACAGACAAATAGATGTATTAGCGTACCAATCGACTTCATTAACCGTGATAGTAATTAACAGGCGCAGACAAAGCAAAGTAGCAACGGATTTATTCAGTTCACTTCAGTTATAACATTTGTGTTGCTTAAACTGACTATCCCTACAGGCCCCATCAAAGCAGTGTGATCATTTAGGTGACAAAACAACGACATCAGTTTCATAGTAAAAGTATCTCGCACTATGCTGAGAATCCAAGACGGTAGTAAGGTGTCCATTTACCACAAGTAAAAAACTCAATATTCCTCTTCCTTATTTCAAATAAGGACCCAAAAACACAATTTTAAAAGTAATGATGCAACAGAAATTACTCTCAGAAAATCCACTAAAGGAAGTAAGTTTCTTTATACAAACGAAAAACCACAGTCAGTACTTTCTTGCAGTTTAATTAATCTTCTTTATTCACTGTACTGTCATTGCATTTCTTTCTTTTTTTACTTTGAAGCGTGTTTCCCGAAGTGTACTTACCTGAACTGATACACTTGTAAGCAAGTTCAGTCAATCAGATTAACCTCGCTTAGGCTCTGCAGTTTTGCGAAATCAACATAGAGGACCTAAGAGTGGTCGTCTACTTGATATCATTTAATCAAAATTAAAAAACTATATCTCACACTGCGAGTATGCAAGGGTTCAATAGCCAGTTATTGCGTTTAAACACAGGTATTTCAAAGTGTACTGGTCTTCCGGAATTCAGTTAAACGGTATTGTAATAACTAGGGTAAACTGTGAAGCGCCAATACATTTTTCTTGATTGATAGAATCCTGTGTTGATTTGTAAATAAATTGAAACAGTAACATATTTAACTCCCTCATACATCAATGAGTCTTGCTGGCTTGTATAATTCACTTTCTATTGTTTATTCACACACATGTAACAATAAAAAATGTATGTTTTTTAATATGTGTTTGTATTTTAACTGTGTTGGTTATTTCAAACACGTGAAAAGTATACGTTTATCAGATGAGTGTCTGGATTTGCTTGAGGATCATAAAAACCAAGTACATACTATGTTTAATATATATATATATATATATTTACTGTCTGAATTTAGGTTATTCTAATAAGACATTATTACTATAATTGGTTACTGTTTGACTCTGAATACAAGTTCAAGTTAATACTACAACAAGGGAAGCTATATTCTCAATTCGATTGGAAAAATAGTAAAAATTCAGTCTATACCAAACAAAGGACTAGACGGATGATACTACCTTACTACCTAGTGTCTAATCTAACTACATATATATGTGTACTCACCATTTACGCACGAGCCGACAATTCAAAGAAAATAGGGTTTTAACAAAAGCTGTCTAACAAATGAATTCGAATGCGAGTATGGTAAAGGAAACTTAAATGCTAAATTAAGTCACATGATGAGGGGCAATTTGAAATCCTTACCCAGTGAACCCAACTATAATGATTTGCTACAACTGTATTCATACATATACCTTTTCTCAGTCAGTAATTCAGAAATCAAAATGGGTATAATTTCATATAGCGACCACCAAAGTAGAATGACTGGCGTATTCGCATCAGACGTATTTCCCTTATTTAGTGCTAGAAGAGTAAAGTAAAAGGCTATTACCCCCACCCCTCTGAGTCATTAGCTCTGCCAACGGTTACACATTGCTTCCCACACATTTTAAATAGACATAAGTGAAAGCAAAACGAATAAACAGACGACCTTACCGAGAGCAGCCAGTTGTTAACATTTTTAGGACTGTATTCAAACTGAAGTTAGATGGGCATTTATAGCAACACTACAACTTTTACTTTATGGAAAATACCAACAGTATGTCTAGTCTGCTGCTATACTTACTATCAGGTGGTTATTGAGGCGCAATGACCTATTTCAAACCAATAAATGCATAAAACATGTTATCTCAGACCAAAGGAACAATGAAAAAAGTAAAGGTTGTTAAGACGAAGACATGGATGATAGAAAGCTGAGTGTAACTGTTCACTTTATCAATGAAGATTGTTTTTAAAAAGACTATAAATGAGAAGTTCCTCAAAAGTTCATCAACCTTCTAGTGCACTTCAGTTACTCAATTTCCAGTCTGAAATTGAACCGAGTATTGACACATAGCTCTCAATCGTTGCAGGAGTTGAAAAAGCTGGAAGTACCCTTAAACAAACACAGTTAGACGTACCTGACTGGCTATGTCTGGAAGTATTTAAGGACTACTCTATTTGTCGTCTACCTCAATGCTCATACAAAAGACTACTTTTTTTAACCAATGAAAACATAAATAAACGATAACATTTCAACCAAATGCCTTACGTGCCGTAAAATTTATCACCCTTCAAGTCAACACAGAAAAGAGATAAGGAGGAAGAAGAAATACACAAAGACAGAAATATCCGTCTATTAAATAAAAGTTTAGGACAGTTGTTTTATCGCGATTGGTGGAGGACTGACAACCCCAGTAGTCAATCTTACTACAGCGTTATTTTTATGCAATATCCAGGCTAAGAAATGTATCAAAAATCAAGTTAATGATTGATTACTAGATCAAACGACTGAAACAATAGCTGAGATGCGCTCATTAACGCTGCAGCACGACTCCAATTTAGTAGTTTATTCGGTATTCAACTGAAATCTAATATTATTCACTAAATGTTGTGTTTTTAACACAATATCTAGTATTCCCAGTCACAAATCTGTAAAAATTTAACTTATCGTACTGAATGCTTGAACTAAACTCAGACTGTGGGCAAGAGCATACAGTTCAACAAGTATATTATTATTACTATTATTATTATTATTGTTATTATTGTTTCCTTTAATTCCTACAGGAACATAGGGCTTCAGCCGTGCATCTCTCCATTGCGTTCAGTTCTCTGCTAGAGTTTTCACCTGGCTCCAAGTCTGTCCACACGTTTTCATCTCCTCTTCACATGAACTCCAAGTCACCCTCGCACTGACGACCAACTCGCCGCTTCCCTTTCGAGTTCCACTCGAGCAATGGCTTGTCTAGTGATGTCACTTGATGATTTCCTCAGAGTATGGCCAATCCATATGGATTTCTTCCTGCATATTTGTTGCACAGTCAGTTCCTGCTGAGTTGGTTCGCTCCCAGAGATCCCTCCCTGTTGCTGATCTTTTCTGGCCATCTGATCTTGAGTATTGAGCGAAGACAACTGTAAATGAAGGTCTGTAGTTTGTTTGAGATGCTCTTTATGACGCGCAGTGCAAGTTTCTGATCCGTATAATAGCATTGAATTCACATTGGAGTTGAAAATCCGGATCTCATTTTTGATGCTGAGTGCTGTTGACCTCCACACAGACTTGAGAGTAGTGAAAGCTTGTCTTGCTTTTCCGATTCCTGCTTTGATATCCTCGTCAGTTCCGCCTGTAGTTGAAACGATGCTTCCCAGGTAGGTAAAAGAGGTTGTTTCTTTCAGGTTCCTTCCATTTATACTGATCGTTGTCTGTTGTTGTTGTTCTTCCCCAGGAATCTTCATCACCTCTGTTTTCTCTATGTTCACCTGAAGTGAAGTCCTATCTTTGATGCTTCTTCTGCCAACTTGTTGCTTTTCGCTTGCATGCAACAAGTATGTTGCATGTATGAAACTGACGGACTAAATTTTTAACGTAAAAATTAGCTTTAAAACAATTAGTTCCTTTTATGAATTTAGATAAAGCAATAAGAAGACGTAATTTGGCTGAATAATGTTGCATTTGCGCAACACATTTCGAACAATTTGATCACACACGGACTTGTCATAGGAATATATATGAAATTAATAAAGATTTAAGAGGTGAGAAAGTAGACTTAGGTCAAGTTAAGAGTACATATTGAAGGTTAGAATAACAATGAAGACCACTAAACCAAATAACAGAGGTAATAGTACATCTGCTATAGTATCAAAACAAAGTTTACCAAAGAAGGTTTAGTGTGATGACGAATTGTTTTTCAACGCGTAAAGGCGGTTTAAACTTTCTACACAACTTTTAGGATACGCCCCGCACACGTTTTATAGATAGGTTTAAAAGATCCGTTAACGTCAATTTTATGTCCTGTCTCTATAATGTTTCGCAATAAAGGAGCTAGGTCTCCTGTTCTCACCATTAATGGGTTCTGAAGATTATATTTGTTTCTGGAGCCAAAAGTGTGGCAGTTCACGTCGGATAAATATATTCAAATACGAAGAGGGTTTAACGCGTGTGCAATGATTTATTAAACAAAAATATGCATGTCATTGATACATGAGAAGTCACAAAGTTATGTGAGAACCTTTATATGATCATAAGCAATAAATTGTGATCGAAACGTCATCAGTAAATATTACTGTATAACACTGTGAGACTTTATATATATATATATATATATATATATATATATATATAAATTTTTAGAAGAACCATGTACGAGATAAGGCGCCACATATATGACATCAAGCCTTGTGTGAAACAATTGAAATCTATCAAACGTCGGTGATAATTTCAACGATCTACCAACCAAGAAAAATTTCACTGACCCATACAGATCATCATAATAAGATTAAGTAAGCAAGACTTAGGCAACAAAAAAGGTATGGACACAAAACAATACTTACTATTTGAAATTGCTCGTTGAAGTTCATCACGTAAAATAGACTTTAGTGAATCACATAACAATTTAGGCAGCACACTTATTCTGGACTCAATGTTATGCAACTGATGAGGATTAGGAAAGCGTGGATCTTGAACACTCGACAAAACTTTACTCATAGAATCATCCAATTGAGAACAGCGTCGCGAAAAGTCTCCTTGTACAGTACGAACTGAAATGAAAGCAAGGCGTAACAAAAGTATAATTAAAACTAACACGAATTTTGAATTTCTCGTAACCAATGCATATAAGGTATCACCCCAGAATGCATGATATTGGCTAAAACAATCTTTAATACTTAACCTAAACCCTATAAAGCAAACTCATCCTTTCAAACCAATACATACGAAAGAAAAACGATTCCATCGTCATTTGGTTAGCAAATAATGTCAACTAACTTCCCAGTCAAAGCAGTGCTGATTGAAATATGCTGAACAAATTAGTGATCAAAATACCAAGCTTAGCTTAGTGTTCTAGATGATTGGGAATTTCAAAACACTTTATAATCGACTGATTAGAGCAGTTCAGCTGGTACTGAAAGCGACTGCTGGAGACCCAAATATACTTACAAAATGTAAATCTTAGAGATACGAGTTGACGTCTCTAGGACAGTAACACTTTCCTGAATATCTGAAGATACACACCAAACCCAGATCATTAGGTTTCTCTGATTATTCAGCCACCCAATTCTTTATTGATCAAGCAGATTAGAACCGTTAACGTCTAAGAGTCAACGGTGTGCACTGTATTGTTTAGATAAAAGGAAATGCAGAAGTGTCGACCAAACGCGAATTTCCTTCAAACTATAAATTAATTACATCCACTACTAACAGGTTTCAGTAGAACGGTCGACTTAATACAGAAGAGGTTTTTTAATTTTTGAACACACACCACTATACATCAAGATTATTTTTATGTAGTTTTTATCACCAAATACAGCGGTGATCAAACACTCGTCATAATTAAATGACACAGAGCATATTTCTCAGTGGAACTTGATTTGTGAAAGCTGATGATACCACCCAGTTGTCTAAGCTTAAGTAGGTGGAGTGGCACTTGAACTGGGAACTCACTAACTGTGTCGGTGGCACAGCGGTTAGGACTCTCGCCGACCATGCACATGGTCTGAGGTACCATCCTCCGCCTGCTAAATTTGGGCTACCGATATCACATGCTGAAAATTTCATACATGTACCAAAATACTGTGTGGAATCAAGCTATAATAAAATAAAAAATAAAAAAAATAGAAGTACAGAGTTGAGGCCACTAGGCCAAACGAAACATACGGGAAATTTCCTGCATGCAAGTATGTATGGCATATTCTACAAAAATGAAATAACCAACACCGCTCAAATAAATAACTTACGTTGTAAAAGTATTTGATTGGCTAATTCAACAGACTTATCTCCGAAATGTTTCGGTCTCCCCCCTGGTATCATCACGTTACTGGATGGTAGTATTTGACTGCGATTATTCAATTGTCCAACGATTTCAAATTGTCTTAGCTGAAGATCTTCAAGCTTCAGTTTCGTTTCTTGAAATTGTTCTATTTAGTATTTAAAAATACCAGATATACATACAAAGTCAGTAAGTGCATTAATAAAGTTGAAAGCGGGAAGCTATATATATATATATATATAAGCAAAAAATACTAGCATTTCAACAATAACTAGTGTTTTCACTAAGATTCTATTTTCGTTCTTCTTTTCTGAATAAAAACATCGACCTGTGGCTATATTGATTCCAAGCCAGTAAGTACTACAGTGAAATGTAATTTGGAAAATCAACACTCACGTATTGGTTGTAAATAAAAAAAGATAAATATCCCAATAGATGAGGGGACACACAGGACAACTATGTTAAATATCCGCTTCAGACAATACTTATTTTCTTGCTTAAATCGTGTTCTGAAATCATCTTAATGGGAATATTTAAATTAATTTTAAAATATGCCGAAGATTAGTTCAAGAAATTTGTAATTTTGGTTATACCGAACCTAAAAAGAATTTAATTTTAAATCTCAGATGATACAGCTCACTGATCTATTGCGCATGTGATGGAACGATTACAACTCTTGACAAGTAGTGTAACGGTAGAAGACAAGAGACTTGGTAACGGAATGTTTATTTGGAATTTGGTATCTCCATTTAGAGAAATTATGTACACCTTATCTCCAAATCATCATTTGCACAGATCTTCCGTGTTGTGCTACTTCTACCCTTCATATTGGGTTTCTTTGTCTTCTTTACGTGTCCACCATGTTTTGACGCAAAGCTGGTTCATTTGCTCTCTTCGACCTCAAATCTATCTCTCTGTTATTTGATGTTTTATGCCGATGAACATCTCTTTATATACTACTGATAAATCTTATCAGTACCTTATCAGACGCCGCAGTAGTACTTGCGGCTTTTTCTAGAAAGCACATGTTATAAAGATATGAGATAACATCTCTCTCATAAAAAAGTTATGCCTCAGCCATCACTATTCAGCTTGCTTCATAAATTAAAGAAATGCTCCACACCACTGATTACAGCATAAATTTATCTACCACACTTGAATAACAGTTTGTTAATACTTGGGTATACTGTACAGATAATTAAAATTACAATAAAAGACAACAACTTAATTATTCTTATCACTTAAACCGGGCTTAATTAATTTTAAAACATAGAACCATTCAAAACTAATGTGACTAGGATCTTACCTATTAAAAATTCGAATTTTTTATTTTGTTCCCGTGATGCTGTAGTTAATTCTTGTAACTGATTTAAAATCATATCCATTCTGTAATCCGGTGCTGAGGTCATGTTATCAATATGTTCAATAGTACTGCTGAAACTGGTCTTCGTGTTATCACTGTCTTTTCTTAACTGATCATGTTCACCAAATAAAAGATGATCATTATTATAAGCATCATCATTTATATTTGATGTTGATACAGACAAGTTTTGCAATGCAGCTGGTGATGATGCATTCTCATGCACTTCTGCTGTTTCAATCTTAGATTCTAACGCAGACATTAAGGATGATGACACTTGTGGTGGGCTTTCTCCACCTGACATTTTCAAGTCTGGTGACGAAATATGAATATTGTTTTCATCCGTTGAGTCCAAATGGTTCTCAGTGTTTGTATCAATTTTAGTAGAAGAAAACTTTTTCAAATTCTCATACAGCAACTGTTGTATCGGGAGACTGGCTAAATTATCAAAGTTATAGAAGTGGGGGTTACCCATAAATAAAACAGAAGATAATTAGACAATAAGTCATTAAAAAAGCACGATTGATGCATATCAAACAGCTTCTGACGTATAAATAAAATAAAACTATTATTCATCGGTATTTATAACATAAGATATGCAATGCAATTAGCTCCTTCTATTATAGCGGTCAAAGCAACCTTGTAAAGAGCGGATCCAATACCTTCACAATGATTGAACATTATTTTTTTTCGACGAAGTCATCAACTAGGCTGTACATTTATATTGCATGCGTGAGAAAGTTCCAGAATTATTTCAGGTCAGAGGTCAGATTAAAAATTACAGAGTTTAATAAGCAGAAGATGTAGTATTAACGAAATGGGTAGGAGGTTCGGACATACAAAAAAGCGCACGGGAACACTATCCAGCATGGTTAGCAAAGTGGTATATAGTTCGATAACAGAACATCTGGTGAATTCTGGACATCCAGCCTCATTTGAAAAGTCCTTCAAAGCCATATATAAGATCCGATCCAACCTACCAAAGGGAGTGAAATCAAAACATCTAGGAATAGCTGAGGCACTGCCGGTCCAAAAACTCAAGCCTATTCTATGTGTCCAAAAGAAATACGTTCAACCGTTGTCCCTACCATGTCCCTCATGTAAAGTTAGTCTCACCAACAATGATTATCCTATTACCTTTCTTGTCCAACCTTCCCGCTAATTTGTTATATTTACCTTTCAAATCCTGCATTATTAGATCTGGTTACTGTTTTTACTTTTATATGTCCGAACCTCCTACCCATTTCGTTAATACTGCATCCTTGACCCATAATTATATAAACTGACTAGTTTTATAGTAATTATAATCCTATTTTGTCTTTTCTACTCGATCTTCCTGATTATTACATATTGTAATTTTTAATTTGACCTTTGGCCTGAAATATCTCTAGAATAGTGCCACTACCTATCTTCTGTTTATTACACTTAGTAATTTAATTAATCTGACCTTTGACCGGAAATAATTCTGAAAATTTCTCACGCATGTAATATAAATCCACGAATGTACAGCCTAGTTGATGACTTCGTCGAAAAGAAAATTTTCTTCGCTGCAACCGTCTTTTTAATAATTCCAATGATTGAAGAGAAAAACCTATTCCTCTGTTGCCAATTTACTTCCACCCCTCGTCCCAATTGCCTATGGAAGAGAAGAATGCACTGCACAGTATTTCATACGGTTCTGGTTTATAATTAAGAGAAAACATCGGTAAAAGTAGGAGACACCAGCTTACGGGTATGTTTTATTGCATTACGTGTCTATAGGATGTGAACACAGAGTGGGTAAATACTGGGAAAACAAATATACAACATGATGAATTAGATGGTTGAGAATAAAGGAAATACCTTGTTGATAACTTTATAGTTTCCACCTGCCTAATTCTACTCCTTAATCCAGCATTGAATGGACAATGGCTATACACGCATATAAATACCTCTTTCACTGGAATACATTAAACAACTTAGGAAAAATTATCAACATACACACACACACGATAGTAATAGCTGCTAAATAGTTGAAAAACAATGATGAATAAAGTCTGCCATCTGAAATATAAATGTATGCGATAAACCAACTGAGAAGCGAAAAGTAGATAGGCCACTGAACATTAGTACTCTATATTCAAGATGCAAAACAAAATATTCAGATCTACAATAAAGCAAAAAATTCAATTGAAGAATATCTCAAGGTAGGAATAAATCATTTCAGATGACACGTTAAAGATCACTGAGATGCTTTGCTAACTGAAGGTAGATTTTCATTCTTTTTTTTCAATGATAACACACTGCAGTCATAGATAGTTATTTTAGTCTTCCACAGGAATTAACAGCTATCTACTTTGTTTGTACAAATCATATGCAGCGTAGATGTAGTAGACTTGGTGATACATATAGGTAGGTGGATAAAAGAGACACAAATACAGTATCAATAGACAAGCTGTGTTAATTGACTGGTTGTCGTTTAAAATACACACGCTGTGTGTGTCACAAATAAGACATCGATTGAAATTGTTGCGTATACGCTAGGTGTATGATGAAAGTGTCTATAACTGTATGTGCATGTAAGAAGAACATATATTGACAAGATTAGAGAAAATAATACAATCTGGTGACAAAATAAGAAAAGGTAACACAGAAATGAAGAAGGTCTGTGTAAAAAATATGAAATTCAGTTTTCTTTGAGACAGACACTAATCCTTAAAAGGTTGTATAACTTTGCATTTCAATTGTCATACAAGCTTTTGAGGCTGGAATTGTGTTCTGATCTAAATATGAAGGACTTTCTTCTTATCATCGATATATCAGTCAAGACTGTTGGACTCATTGTGACTAAAAGTATCTGATAAGGGGTAAGGTGTAGTCGATATTTATTTACACCACAGGAATCTTTAGCCTACAATGCATCAACTCTTAGTACTTCTTACCTATGCTACTGACGATATGCAATCCAATAGTTGTATACTTCATGGATTGGTGATTTGCCTTGCATTTGACTGACTTTTTTTGCTTCGTTGTAAAAATAAGCAATAAATAAATGTAACGAGTACATGTCCGAACTGTAGTAAACCATAGAACTATGTTACGAGTGGTGGTAATAAAGAATCGATAGTGACCTAGTGAACAAAATCTATTCATCATTTACTCCACGTTGAAAAGTAGGAGACGCCAGGCTTCTCTGCAATAGTTATGCTTCTCTTAATAATCAGAACAGTGGACGGTTTACACAACTGAATGTTCCGAAAGACTACAAAAGGCTGAACTTACAAAATGTAAATTATAAATACAAAAAAAGCCTTTTATGCATATCCATGTCTTTGTGAATCGCCTGCGATATTCAGAGAAGAATCTAAGAACATATGCATGAAGCATATCAACAGAACCAGTAGAGTAGTGATGTCTAATACAATGAGTTGTCACAACAGTTTGAACTTATCAAGATAGGGAATGGCAAAGAAGAGAATCAGTAAAAGTTACCACACTTTAGAAAAGCACACAGAAAATAAAGGTAATAAAACTTTTGTCAAAAAGAGTTTTAAAAAAGGAGATAAGAGGTCGAAGGAAAATTAGTGGATCAAAATCGCGATTCGGAAACTACACTGTTCCAAGTTAAAATTTACCACAGCTTAATGGTTATTTTTAGAATCCTGAAGATAGTACAAATCGGAAATGTTTGCGAATGATTCTGAACGATACCACAAAGTCGTCAACAATCGATTCTTAACATTTTTTACTTCCCTAAGTAGCTCTAATAAGCAGTGAATGACATAAATTTGTTCCATGATTCCAGTCATAGTTGCTGGGCAAGGATGACCACTTTAGCTACTGGAGTTACACAAGTTTATCGGCCGAGTTTTCCGAATTACCTAACATTACGTCTAGACTAATTATTACTATCATCTAGCCTCAGCTGAAGCGATGAATTCATCAGAGATATCAATGGTCGAAAGCCGCAGGTGTTTTCATACATTCCACCTTTGTCAGGTATATCTCATAGTCGTACAGTTGAAAATAGTGATGTACTTTGGAGCACATACACCACCCTTTGATGGTGAACGGAATGATGGAAGTTCGCAAAAGCCAAGCGAACCGTTTGTATTCTCGGTGAGACTTTATCAGCAACTAGTCCATTGGGGTTGATGTAAGTTCCAGAATAAGTGAAGTAGACAACACATTCAGCCATTTCACTAAGTGGATGTATTTTCGACAAATATATTCACCCGACTGATAAAATTTATCTGTACTACCGATTGTATTTCTAGTAATACATTAAACTATGACTGAAAAAAAAGTTCAAAGAAGACTAGACAGAAAGTTATCTCAGTAAAACCTTTATCCTTGAGTCACTACTGCTTTCCGTTTTGATGTAGATTTTAGTATGTGGAGCTGTTATACAGTAATACTAGGTCTCTGGTTTAAATCTTTCTCTCAGAAGTAGATAAACCATTATGAGCCAGATCAACCAAATGAAGTTCCAGAAAAGCATAATGAGACTGCCAACCAAAAACAATGGGGACTAGCTAGCATACATCAACACGAACATACTCTCAAGCATCTGACAGTTGGCACACCTCTTAGTTTAAAGGTAGCATTGGTGGACACTTTTGCTAATTTACTTTGTTATCGAACATTAATAGTAAGATTAAGAGGATTCTGATTAGGAAAAGTCGGTTCAACTGATTCAGTTAGAGATAGATAATCAATATCATTATTACAATTAATGTAAAAAGACTACATACGTATTGGTGGGGTTATCGGATTCGGTGTTTCAGTCAGAGCACTTTCATTGCTTGTCGTTCCATGATTGACATCTTCACAACCAGATTCTTTTGACCTGTTATTTAAAAAAAGACATAAAAACGATTCAGTCGATAAGTCAATGAAAACGGAGAACAGAATCCGATAGAGATGTGCTAATGAAATTCTATGTTCCACTCAGATGCCGAAGAACGAATAATACTGATAATAATGACGATGAAAGTGATGTTACAGATTTCCTCTGTGAATATTATGTCAATAAAATACAGGTTTTGAAGCGCTTTCAATACGTGACAGAGAGGACATTGCACATAAAAACGAATGTCTGTGGATCATTAATCTCTCATAGATTGCTGCTAAAAACAGGTAGTAATTGCCACTTTTGGCACAACGAACGCTACTCCGTGCTATGTTCAGACAGTAAAACAAGGTCAGTGAATATAAATGATATGAAAAATTTAAGAGGACATCCAAATCATGCAGCAAACGTTGCCCGTCGAGGAAGGCGATGCCTAAGCATATGTAACACATGCGCTTACCATCTCAATCGGTGTAACTTCACAGCCTCATCGATTGATTTCCCCTCCTTACCTAGCAATCGACCGAAGCCTAACCTCAATATTGCTTACCTTATTATACCACTTAACAAGGGGGATAGCGCGCAGACAACTATGATCAGAGACAGCTAGTCAGGCTTCTCATGTCTTCCACCTTCAATGGCCATGTCTCGCTCACGGCCATAAAGGCGGACAGAGCGAACGGCTGAGTAGTACACACACCCTTTGGTCGATAGTCAGCCTGATATCACGTCTACACCAGAGATCACATGGCGTGGCGGGCATATGCCAAACAGGCCATCCGTAACCTTACTGAGATTTCGTCGGCGATCAACCCACTGAAGCTGCCTCAACTGATACAACTCCCCAAATAAATGAAGTGGTCAACACGCTCAGCCACAACTTCAATCCCTATCTCTAAGCTAGGAATGAATCGATGTAGTCCGTCCAGTCCTGTAGCATCATCTTACATTTGACAGCAGGAGCGAGTCACCTGTCTGCCTGCCAAACATTCGAAGATTGCTGCTCAGCTCAAGGTGTTCAGAACACTCTGCATTTTGTCAGCGTCTTCACCTAGGAGCTGGACTATTTCATCTGAATATTATAAGTCAACGTGACTATTATTCCCAGATGGCAACAAGTCAATCCCTGAATCGCTGAAGTCAGTTAGGGTCAATTCCATTAATACATTTGTGATGAAATTAAACAGAAATGGAGACAGTGGACACCACTAGTTGTCACCAATTCAAATGACAACTCGCCATAAGCTCTCAGCTGGCTGCACGAGTTCGAGTAGAGTTCTGTGATCAGTGCAATGTATTTTCTCGACATTCCCTTCACAATAAAACATCACCCTAGTACACCCAGCGGTCGACGGAATCGAATACCACTTTCACGTCAAGAAATACGACGATGATTATTGGACACCGGTAAGTATGGCTATGCTCCAGAATATGTTCAAGGATGAGGATATGACCAATACACTCCCTTCCTCCTTTAAAGCCTGTCTGTTTCTCTCATGTTTGTTTCTCCCGAGCACCATTTACTCAAAGCATGATTATTGAGTCTAGAACTAGATTTCTAGACGGTCCCAAGCCTGGATAGAGGGAGGATTGGGGCGTGGTGCTAGCAACTCCACCCCCAAAACTTAACCAAATCCCTACAGAAACTTCAACGCACAAATATATTAAAAATTCTAAAAATACAAACAATAACCTGACTTTTCGGTGGAATCGGGAAAGTGAAATGACGCAGGCTGGTGAGACCCCGCCTTCGGGAAGCCAGTCAGCCAACGTGTCTCCTTCCGATGAAACCAAAAATAAGGATGGCGACGTGGGATGTTCCCACAATGTACGAAACTGGAAAGGCTGCCCAGGTAGCCGCAAAAATGAGAAGATATAAAATAGAAGTGTTGGGAATCTGCGAGAGCAGATGGAACGGATGTGGAAGGTGCCAACTACCAACTGGAGAGACAGTAATCTACTTCGGTCACCCAGAGGACGATCACGAGCACACCAAGGGAGTGGCCATCATGATGTCACCAACAGTAGTCGAAGTTCTCATGCAGTGGGAACCAATCTTCTCCAGGATAACGACAGCCAGGTTCAACTCAAAAGGAAAGAAGGTTACAATCATTCAATGCTATGCGCCTACAAACGTCACAGAACAAGAGAAGAAGGAGGATTTCTACAGTCAACTACAAACAGTAGTGGACAACGTCCCAAAGAGCGATATCAAAATCCTGATGGGTGACATGAATGCGAAACTGGGAGGAGACAATACAGGAAGAGAACTCACCGTGGGTCGTGAGGCCTTCTGAGCCTTCAATAATTTGGTGATTGATGGCAGTGTGTTCAAACACAGGGATATACACAAGGCGACATGGATTTCACCAGATGGACACATCAAAAACCAGATAGACTTCATTTCTATCTCAAGGAAGTGGAGATGGAGCCTAATGGACACAAAGTCGAAGGGAGGAGCAGATGTGGGTTCAGATCACTATCTAGTACAAGTGACTTTCAAGGTGAAGCTAAAAGCCTCGAGGACAGCTGGGGATAGGCCACAATGCAAGTTCAACACTCAAAAACTGAAGGACACAACCACAAAGGACACTTTCACTGCAACTGTCAGAGCAAAGCAGGAAACACTAGGTGGCATCACTGAGGAATCATGCGTGGTGATTTTCAACGAAACGTGTTCAACGGTTTTAGGAAGAAACAAGACAAGGAACGGCTCTCAACGGACACTTGGAAGCTAATAGAGGAGAGGAGAATTATTATTATTATCATTATTATTATTGTTTCCTTTAATTCCTAGAGGAGCATAGGGCTTCAGCCGTGCGTCTCCATTGCGTTCGGTTACGGAGCACCCTAGGGTGAGTCGGAATGCACAATTGTTGGGGTCGACCTTTCCTAATTCCCTCTCTCCAGAGCAGAGAGACAGCATAGGTGGCTGGCATGCTGGTCATCTGAGGGAAACGCCTCACTGCTGTTACATCCCTGTTCCCCAGCATAGTGTAAAAAATTCTCACACTGTGCCGGCAACTGCTTTTAGTGTAATCGCTATTCTAACAATCTTCCAGTCAGTGTAGCTTATTGGGTCATTTCGATATGCAAGCCTGACCACTACGTAAAGGGTGCAGCTATCGGTTGAGGACTCTAGCCAGCCAGGCGGTCAGCACTTCCCTACGTGGTGACCTAAACCAACAGTTACAAGCTTAATGGATTTCTTAACAACAAACAAAATTCTGTAGAAATTGTACTCATAAAGGCGTACTAAAATGAAACAAGTGTCTAATTCTTACAAGCCCTATCAAGAATAACATTCTGTGATAACATTGATTACTTCATGACAATTCATTGTTCGACATTAGATGTTGGAAGTCAATCAGTAGGATATTCTGCAAGACCTAAGATTCTTACTTTTTAGCATTCATAAAACAATGAGTTTTCGTAACCTGGTTATATCTGCCATTGGAGTCAATGGTCAATCGCAAAGCAGGAAATTTTGCAAGTTAAACGAAAAGGTATTGACTGACTTATTAACAACATTTAAGACAACTAACTTGTAATGAAAAGTAGCTGTTTGTATCATACATACAAGACGGAGACGAGAAGAGGAACGTCAATAACTATACCGATTTGTACCTGTTGCCTTATTACAAAAGGAAGTTGAGACTTTCTGGTATAACTCAATCTCCATTATAGATAAGATTTTATTTTGAATAAATCACAGTGTTATACACTAATATTCATTGGGATTTATTCAAAATAAAATCTTATCTATAATGGAGTTATACTCTACCACAGTGCCCAAGTTTTATGCTTATAACTCAATCTCTTTTGCTGAAATTTATTAGTCCATGTACTCTGCGCATTTTTCTTTATTGTTCCCCGTTATTCTTTCCCGGGTTTTTCAAAATAGGCTACATAATATTACGTATAAAATTGAATGCTGTAAGTAGGGTTAGCGGTGTGTCTTTGACTCAACTAATCCACATCGTAGTTGACAGAAAGTTTAAATCTTGCAAGCAGTTATCTACAGTCATTTTGTCTGATACTGAAAATCTTCTTTATTCTTAACTTTCTCCCCATATTTTTGGGATATGTACAAACGCTGAAAGTTCCATTCTTGTATAAGTATAAAAAATTGCTGCTTGGAATAAAGTGAATACTATTCATGATGAAATCCTCCATGCAATCAAACAAAATCCCTACAAAACCAATACTTGAAAATACTATTATTATTTGTACTTCCATAGAAGAAATAAGTTAGTCTTTTTTTTGAAAAGCTGTGATTTTAAGCTATTAATAATGTAATGAAAACTCACGTTTTGGATAATTCATGGTTCACTGTAAGAGGTGCCTCAGGGAAAGCGTCTTGAAAGTTTTCAGTACTTGGTGCTTCCACGGAAGTAAGTGACACAGTATCCGAATTAACTGAATTATTATCGTTCACTGTAGCCGACAGAGGATATTCCGACACTATGTTGACGGATTCCGTCTCAGTCTGATTATTATCAGGCATCAATGGATCTTGACTAAAACCAAGAACACAGGAAGTAATGAAACATTAAATACAGGCAGGAATGAAGATAACTTAGCGAAATTGTAACAGTTAATGAAGACAGTGTGAATCCAGTCGGTAATAGTCCACATTCAGAGTAAATTAATGCAGGAAAACTTCTATTAGAAAGTCTTTCACCTGCAAATAACTGCTGTAAAAATTAGCAAAACTCCGACTGATTTGAAATCATATATATGTTATTACTGAAGTGAACTGAATAAATCCGTTGCTACTTTGCTTTGTCTGCGCCTGTTAATTACTATCACGGTACGGTACGCTAATATGTCTATTTGTCTATTGTACCTTCCGACTCACTGAGCCACGCAAATATCAAACGACAAAGACTGGCCTGTGATTGACAGTATGATATTGTATTATATATATCTATTAGGAAACAGAACATCATATTTGTGTATTTATCACAATACAGTTGGCTCACAACCGTGGGAATACACTATTCTTATTGGCTGGAGATTTCTATTTTGATTGGTTGGTGATCGGATGAAGATCAAGGTGAGACAGAAGACGATGAATTGATAACACACACTAAGTCACAATATGCGTGAAAAATGATAGACTGATCCACATAGTAACTTCATCACAAGACAAATCACATGATTCGTGAGAAAGGATGGTGTACTATTTTTTATGCTGTGTCCTCTCAACGATTCATAGGACTATTCGAAATTACAAGCCCACTCGCTACATAAACATGCTGGGCCCTTCACACTGACTTAAGTCAGGTTTGGATTTTAAAACATGGCTGGTTCACCTACAAAAAGCTTCTGCTTATTTACTTTTAGATAACTCACCCTAAATCCGTAGGTGGAGTATGGGTCAGTATGATTTAAACATACGGGTGGTACAAACATTATCTATAACTCCTTCGATGTAGCTTGCGGCTAAAACTTAAATACGAATACTGGGAAGTATACATACATCGCCAACTAGTTTAAAGAAGAACGTAACAGGTGTCTTACAGACCATCATTAAAAGACTCAGATGAGCAATACTGTTTTTAGTCAGATTATCCTGACGCCTCACTTTAACGGATATGCCTTTTTATGTCTAAAAATCCTCATCAATGACGATGATTTGTGGGTCAATCATGTGCCAAATATATTAGATCATATGGGTAATAGGAAAAATAAGAACAACAATTATAAGGAAGGTCGAAGTAGTTAATGCAAGTGGCGACAAGAATAATGGAGAGTGGACATAGTACAAGCTATTACATTAGGTCCCACTGTTTCCCAATGAACAATGTTTACATGTGGGCATAAAAGCAGAAAGCGAACAACTTAATCACCCACGCAAACGTGAAAAATATGTATTCCAACTGCTGTGCAAGTAGCTGAATTCCTTAGTTATATTTCTACATCAGAAAGAAAAGAACAAGAAGTTCAACAAAGATATCTTTTCGGCAATACCATTCTCCTTAGTTTTCGTTTCTTTGTTGTTGTTTTTTCATTCCCCCCCCCCATTTTTTCCTCAGTATAAAAAAAGCCATTATTTCAACTTGTAAAAAACTATTCTCTAATCCAGTGTAATTTTGTTTCTGACCCCCTCATAACCCATATTCATACCTTCGAACTTTCATATCAAGTTGAAAATTATCACCTTTAATCTCCTTCGTTATTATGTGGAATTAAATAATAATTGTAACCTATTTTAGCTTATGTGTATTAATGCGATTGTACAACTGTTGAGAATGAAATCACCGAAAAGATATCTTTGCTGAACTTTTCGTTTTTTTCTCTCTAATGTTCTGAAGGGGGTATTTTCCACGATATTACTATATCACACATATTTATTACGAGACTGATGTGAAGATGACGGGCGACAATTGCTTTAATAGCAATAAATTACAAATTCTGTAGTCTAGATATGTGGTGGACAATGTCAGTATGCGTATAGAACAAGAAGATTTAAGAACAGTCAACTGACCAAACTCCAGACGAGGCACCTGAAGAGTTAATTACATTTGCACCACTATCCAGGCAATACAACACAGTGAAATCTCCAGATTACTACCGGTTTCAATAACACATTAAAATATATTTGCAACCAGTTGTGTTTTCTGAGCTGGTTGGTTTAACTGCGGAGCTGCAAATCTTCTCTATTAAATTAAATTATTCTTAAACAGTTAATTTGCAAGATTTTTCAGACCTCGGAAAGGTTATTGTGATGCACAGACGGATACTAGTCTAGTGGAGCTAACATTTATAAAACCATAGTGTAGTGGTGTGATACAGACAACTTGTACTAACGGAACAGGATTCTCACATATTCCCACAGTTCAATACTGCATTAGGAACAGAATACTATGCATATTTGAACATTCTATCTCATGTCGTTAAATGTAAACCAAAATCACACGCCCCGTGATTGGTTAACGAATATAAACTGTATGTGTATAAACAGCGGTTTGATCAATGTAAAGTAGACTTTGGCTTGCGGGTCCCACCTTCTATTGTTACAATAGTATGCCATGAGTATAATGCCTTCAAAAGCGTACAATTTTAAAGCCCGATTCACACTTAGGTATTTATGGTCAGAGAGAAACTTTCCTTCTTAAGTATGTGACTTATTTTGTTATATCCTTCAATTATAGTTGCTTTATTTATTCTCTTCCTATTTAAAGTCTTCAGACAAAGGTCACCACATAGTTCGCTATACAAATTAGAAAATGGTCTACACTTAGTAAGATAAACATCTTAGCTATACGATACGTAAACAAAGTACACGATTCAATGAACGAGATAATCTACCTATTGTTGTCAATCGGTGACACTGCACGTATATTCTAATCGTGTGATGTTAATACTCATAAAATGAACAAAAAGATAGTTACTTACTCCGATTGTTGACTTGTGACCGCATTCTCATCATTTGCATTGGTGTTATCCGAGACCTAAAAAGTATTTAAATTGGAAAAAAGCTGAATATATGTATATATATATATATATATATATATATATATATACGCGTAAAAATTTTAAGGGACTATTATTGACCTGATTGTCGAAAATACTTCCTATGACTAGAAAGCACTTGTCAGTATTACCATTTGACAAATAAAGTAACTCAGTGAATTTAAACAGAAACAACAATATTCTTAAAGCTGGAGGATTTTATGGTTAGTCTTTTGGCTCATGATCTGAAACAAATTAATGCAGTGATTTTGACAACAGCTTAAAAAGAGTCAAAACCAAATAGAACCAGATGTAATAAAGTTACTTGAAAAGCTGAAACAAATCTGATACACTGGGGTTTGACTAAATGACCACAAAGAGGCCTTACAAACGTCGCCTTTAATGAACAATGGTACAAGTGAACAGCAAAAGATGTGGACTGGATTTCACAAGCATTGTCACATCACTAAATTTGACTCACATTTTATGATTCACATCTTTATTCAAATAGCTGCAATAACTTGTGATCGATCTCATAGGCTTTACTATAAGGTGTATAAGCTGCATAATATGTTGTACAAGTATTTTAGCTAATTATGTCATCTATCGACATAAGTAAGATGACAGAAAACTCAGCGAAACCTTTAAAGTGAAAACAGGAGTAAGACAAGACTACCTATTACCACCAATAATATTCCTAATTGTGGTGTACTGGATCTTGCGACAGATTGTGAGCAGCGAGATAAGAATTTGTCTAATATCACACAAACTCGAGGACTTGCAGACAAAAAGCAACAATTTGACATAAGAAGCAGCAAAGACAGGACTTCAGATGAACATAGAGAAGATAAAGGGTGATGAAGATACCTGCCGACCAACAACATCAGCAAGAACCAATCACACTATCAACAAAACAAATTGGAAAGGGGTCACTTCCTTCACTGATATCTAGGCACCAGTGTTTCGACTACAGTCGGCACCAACGATCATTTCAAAACTATCGTTGTAAATGCAGGACAGACTCTGAAATCAGTTTGGATATCTTCTGCACTCAACACAAACGATAAAATTCAGATTGCCATTTCCCCTATTTGGGTTAGAAACGGCGCATCACGAAAAGCACTTCTAACAGGTTTCGAACTTTTATCAACAGTTTATTTCGTTCCATCTCGAAGATCAGATGGCTGGAAAGGATAAACAACGAAAATCTCTGGGAACTAACTAACCACGAACCGACCGCTCAACATATATGCCAAGGAGAAAAGAGATGGATAGGACACGCTGAGGAAACCGTGGTGTGTCCAAGCTCTCGAGTGGAACCTTAGTGAGAAGCAACGAGTTGGGCGTCTGAGAGTAACATGGAGGAGATCGGATGAGGGGACGAGAGCCTGTGGGCAATTGTGGAGCTAGCTGAAGAGGACTTCAGGGAACAGGACAAAGATGTTCCACTTGACATTAAAGGGAATAATAATATCCAACCTAAGTTCCAAATGAATTCCATTCTGAATAAAGATTACACACTCCTCGTAAATTCTACTGCTAGCTATCACCTAAGAGAAAATTATTACAATGCGAACTTCAAATAACAGTCAGTGAATTCATTTTTTTTATGATTTGTGTGTAAACAATTCAACGCAAGTTCGATATAATTTAAATGGTATATTTTTGCATTCAGCTGAAGTCTAAGTGATTTCAACTATCAGGAACGATCATCATAAGCCTAGTGCCAATGCAACCAGAACTTCTACAGTATCTTAGTGTAACTGGGCGATATTATAGAAGTTTTAGTTTAGTGATTTTTGAAAGCTTATATGTTTAAGAGAATCAGTTTGTTTTAGGTTGCACCACTGATGGATATCAGTTAGAAAACCATTGAGAGCCAGTGAGTACGCGACAACTGTTTCATCCTAGTTCGAGACTCGTCGACAATACGCACACACTGGGATTCAAATCCAGGACATTCCGATTACAAGGCAAGCTCGTATGCCATTCAGCCACTGGGACCCAGTTAAATAGTTCATAAATTCTAACCTAAAACAAATAGAATCGGCCGTACCATGCGCCAACTTGGAAAACGCGCTCGTGAACACTACCCAGCCTGGCTGGTAAAAGGAGAGCAAAAACGTGTAAACAGTTCAGTGACAGAACATCTGGTCAACTCAAGACATTCAGCGCCTTTCGAAAAATCCTTCAAAGTAATATACAAGATTCAATCAAACCTATCAAAGGGAGTGAAATCAAGACATTTGGGCATAGCTGAGGCGTTAGCTATCCAAAAACTCAAACCCACTCTTTATATCCAAAAGAAATACGTCCAACCACTGTCCCTGCCATGGCCATCATAAACAGGTAAATTTTTTTAATAATGACCATCCCATCGCCTTTCTTATCTAAACTTCCTGTTTATTCATGTTATTTTAAGTTTTCTTAATCTCTGTCTACACTACCATATTTTCATATCCACACTTCCTGTTTATTTTGTCATTTTATTATCTCTACATATTTAATCCCTGATTGTATAAACAATTATTCATCACACTAGTTTCTTATCCAAACATCCTGTATATTTTGTTATTTTTACATTTCTAACCCCAATTGCACAATGTCAATTTTCTTAGTTATTATGCTACTTTGTTTTAGTTTTACCCATCCCCCTGTTTATTATGGCATTCTAATTCCTAATTGTAATTTTTATTAAAACAATTATTCATCACACTAGTTTCTTATCCAAACATCCTGTATATTTTGTTATTTTTACATTTCTAACCCCAATTGCACAATGTCAATTTTCTTAGTTATTATGCTACTTTGTTTTAGTTTTACCCATCCCCCTGTTTATTATGGCATTCTAATTCCTAATTGTAATTTTTATTAATTCAACCCCTAACCAGAAATTGTTCTGAAACTTTCCCATCCATTTGATATAAATACACGAATGTACAGCCTAGATGATGACTTCGTCGAAAAGAAAATTTTCTTCGCTGCAACTGTCTTTTTATTCCCTATGAACAAATAGAATCCCTACAAACTAATTCTTGAAAAATTTATCTGATGCTCTTTAGTGACTGGCCACAGTACGAGGTTGCCTGAAGTTCTAGTGATCCAGTCGTGATCAGTAAGGTCCACATCCTGTCACGAGAGAGAACAAATACTCGCCAATAACATTGACTGGTTCCAGTCGTGTTAAAACCACGAATAGGGAGAAGTTAGAGTTCATGGACCACTAAATCGTATCCCAGTGGCTGAATGGCATACGAGCTTGTTTTGTAACCGGAATGTTCTGGTTTCGAATCCTAGTGCGTGTGTGTACTGCCGATGAGTCTCAAGTCTGGATGAAACAGCTGTCCAGTACTCCCTGGTTTTCAATGATTCTCTAACTGATATCAATCAGTGGTCTAACCTGAAGTAATATATATGTAAAACTTGAGCACCGCAATAGCATGCGACTCATTATTAATTTGTTCATCAGATATATCACACAGTGAAACAGTATTATTTACTGGATGGCGTTTAAAACAGAATTTATAGTTCATAATCATATCATTTATAAACACACAACTTCAAAACTTCAGTTTTACAGTTTTCTTTATTTTCTCCCATTCGTCGAATGGACAGTAGAATTTTCCAAATAACCTCAGCACGTGTTGAATCATTCCTACTATTACACGTACTCTCTCTGTCTCAGTTGACTTGATAAACGAGGCTTTCCCTATCAATCTCTCCCTCCACCCTGTGACATTAGATTTTAGAATTTTCATCTTATCCTATGGTATGGTTATGTGTAATTGCATGCAGTGCTGCCTACGGGTGAACTATTCTCAGACTTCTTTTCTTATTCGTGTCAACTAATCTAGATTTTGCTAGGCTTTTGCGCTCCGCTAGTCTGACTGCCTCTGTTCTACTACTTTGACCTACGTAACTGTCCTGACAATCATTCCAACAGGGTATTAGATAAACTAAATTGTTTTGTTTGATGGGCTCCATAGGATCCTTTAACCGACACAGATCATTTCTAATTGAGTTTGTGGGTTTGAACACCACTTTTACTTCTGAATTGTTAAGAATTCCCCGTAACGTTTCAGAAGTTTCTTCTTTGTATGGAAGTAGTATTGATGATTTATATTCCCTATTGTTGGTGTTGTCATTATCCTGAGCATGTTTGACATGCATATCGTCATTAATATTATTATCATTGTCACCATCACTTCTATTATTATTAACCTTATTTTTACATTTCCCTTCATACTTCCTGATTAATTTGTCAGGGTAATTATTAAGTTCCAAAGCTTCTTTTATGTGGCTTACTTCCTGTCTTAGATTTTCCTTCGCACTACTTAGTTTCTGTGCCCTAATACTTAAACATTTCAACAATCCTATTTTTACTGACATAAGGTGAGATGACTGTAAATCCAAACATCGGTTTCAATGTGTGGGTTTCCTGTAAACACTACTGTTTAAATTCCTATCTTCTTTCCTTTTTACGCTACAATCTAACATTTGGAAGCTCCCCTTGTTAACTTTCCAATTCATAAGTGAATTGAATCGCCTCTACCTTCGAGTTGATGTGTTCGAAAAATCTGTTTATATTATGTGTTCTAAGTATGGTAAATGTGTCATCTAGATACCTCCACCATACTTTGGGAAAGGCGGTGAACATTTCAATCGCCAAGTTTTCCCACCTATCCATGAATATATCTGCCAATATGTCCAAAACGCACTAATTTCTGACCAAGAACTTGAACTGAGAACAAAAGTGCCACTAGCAGACATAATGCTAGGAGTGCAGCTTATGCCTAACTTCCACCAAATTGAAATTCCGTGGAACAATATACAAACAAACTAAGGGAGTTGCCATGGAGTCGCCAATATCCCCGACAGTGGCAGATGACAGAAATGCTAATCTGACAGTTTTCAATTAAATAAAAACGCGATTAGTGTTAGTTGGTCACTTACACAAGAAATATATGTTTGTTGAATGATGGTCTTTGTAAGTGTATCAGCCAACCAATGAAAAGACTGTAGATAAACACCCCTTGTTCTGGATGAAAGCGCAGAAGAAGGGAGACAGTTTATTATTTGACTGTAGTCATAGTCTTTCCTTGGGACACAACTTTGACAAAATGAGTGCACCATATTTTCAGATGACTCTGTGTTAAACAGAGCCATGTGGCACTGCTGTTAGAAACATTAGTAAAGACAGCTATATCAGAAACTAAGAATGGAGCTATAGTTAGAATATTAGCATTGGTTAAAAATTCAGTAACATCTACAAACTAAATCTATTTACCGTCAGATGAGTGTAGCCTATTGGAGAAAACATTTTAACCGACAGAAAGTATGAAAAAGCTGTTGAATCCCAAACTGAACACCGTCTAGGGAATACCACTGTAAGTAAACCAAATCACACAGCAACAAGTTCAGCCAAAAGAATTTCTTATAAACTAAATCTGGAAAGTTCATAGTGAACATGGCTAAGTGTAGCGCGATAAAATATAGCTTTAATGGCATATCATACCATGACACCTAAAAAATAGAATCAGCAGTAAACATAATATAACAGAAGTGGTGATTACTCGGCAACCATTACTGCATATTAAAACGAGACAAAAAATCGCTTAAAACACCTTGTTTTTAGCTGCCACAATACGCAATAATACATAGTGAGGAAATGAAATGGCAAACCAGTTACATGTTACTCAACCATTATATTGGAGCATGTTGGAGCTATTTACACTGAAATTCCCCTACTGTGCAGAGGCTGATGACACTACTTGTCTTCCCAAATGTGTTATCCATTCGTTTGAAATCAATTGCCAAAATCACAGAGAACATATTTGCACGCTACCACTGAATTCCACTCATTTCACTAAACATGCTACATCATACTCATCGACAACTTAACTAAAAATCCCATCATCAGCCGATGTCACAGGCTTTTTTGTAAGAAAGTACACGAAATGTTTTCATGCTACTCAAACACATTAGAGTACATACGTCCAAATCTTGTAAAAATGACTTGTTAACCTAACTTATACGGTAAGGTGAAAGCTGTCGCTTCACCGCGTTTTCTAAGTGCAAGAGATATAATATAGTATTAACAGTTTCTTGAACGTTTACTAAGAACAAATTTTAGGGACCTCGAGTTTATCTGGATAATTTGAATGGTCTACTAACTGCCAGTTTGTCAGAGAGACAGACTGAACATTTAAAGTTAGCATCAATGCGCATGTTAGTTAAGGCAAACACACTTTACACATTAAAAAATATAAACAGAAGTTAAAATCACCAAGAGATAGAGAGAAGTGGAGAAATGAAAACAATGATACTACTTATCGAAAAATGACGATGATATGCTACAACTTGGATGAATCGGGTACTCCTCTTATGTAACAACAAATAATTCTTAACCAAGATGCCACTCAAGTTATTTCGTATGATTTAAAGATGCCTTGCGAAAACAAAAGAGAACAATTTAGAGCCGATTATTAACTTCCATTAGCGCTCCTGTTCAATAAAAAATTGTGACGAGAGGAAAAAATTGCTGGACTTTAATACTTTGCTAATGAATAACACTGTGGTTATACATAGAAAATCATACTGATTGCAGAAACATTAATCTTAGTTTTAAGTTGAAAAAGTGACAAAAGAACAAAAAAGAAGTGACAACTGAAAATAAGACAAACAATTCAAAAATGGCACATTAATTGGAAACTATGGTTAAAGAAAGGTATAACGAGCACAAACTTTTGACGAACATCCATGCCCAGGCAGAATCTCTTTAAGACCGATTATCTTCACGATTAAACCACACTGCCATAAACTTAAAAACTGGTCAGCAAGTAAACTCAAGATGATTCGGAAACAATTACTTGTTCACAATTAACTCCATGTTCGGGGAACAGTTAACTATCTATATATGGCAAACTGATAATTCGCTTCAACAAATCTGCACTGCAAAGCAGCATTCCTTTGAAGACAAGACTACTTATACCACGCGATATTTACCGCATACTTACATTACAAAAATTCATAGGTACTGTTTTGCAATAAATTAAATTACTGTTATTGAAAAAAAGCTAAATAAACATTAATGCAATGCACTGAAAGAATTCAACTTCACTTGAATAAAAAAAACTGTACTGTCAAAACAAAATGATAGAAAGCCTATCGGCACTAGTTCCAATCAACACACTACCTATATATAAACATAGATAAAACAAAGCTAAGATATGCAAGCAACAAGAACAAATTATACTCTGAGTACTTCGAAGAGGAGTTCAGTGAGTGCAACAGCACAACCCTTGCAGCTTCTCCTAAACTCCACGAACAGTATGCAGACAACAAACAATCCATTCGAACACACACACACACATACCACAACACAAAATACGATGGGACGGTCAACCAATTCAAAATTCACATACTTAAGTCCAGATACATATCAATATCTTCAGCAATTCCACACTGAACCCATGCAATACGAATAACGAGATCTCAGTCGAATAATCAATAAACAGGGGGAAGTAAAACGTAAATAACATGTATAAAGCAGGATTGTAAGTCGGATTTACACACCGACATCATAACATTATCAGCACTAAACTGTACTCAAAACTCCATCCACTCAATAATACTACTTTATCACTCAGTGTATCTTACACTAACACAACTCATCTCATATGCAATTCATACACAATTATTAGTCGAGTATCAAGTCGTTCAACAAATCCGTCTATATTTATATGCTATCTTACAATACTGCTTATCTCCCATTGAAATTTTGGCTTCTTTTATGACCACCTCATTTCTAACATTTCAACTAGTTCACATTTACTCTGAATTAAATTTAAATTTAACTACACCGCTAATGCTCAGATAACGAGAATCAACCAATATATGATACGATACATCCAGTATATTCTTCACAAGTACTACTTGACAGAGTGACATGTATGTGTATGTATGACATGCCTCAGAAACAAGGGTCATCAACTTATCTCCACCGGTTGGCTAACTTATCGGTTAAGCTTCAACTTACACATAGTACGTAGGTTTATGTTCCACCACAATGTCAAGTATATGATTCGGTTCTACGCATCCGTTTACAAGGTAGTGAATCTACTTTACCCCCCACCCCACCCCAGCACTCTTAAGTATTAAAGTATTCAAGTATCCATAGGCCATACAATTTAAGCGAATATTTTGTCAAGGTGAGTGGGAAAAGTAGCGGAGTATTTTAGACCAAGGTTTTGGAAGAGTTGTGGGTGATGAGCAAAATACACCTTTACTGAAAAGTTAAGTTTTTCATAGGTTTGTTCAGAATAATGCAGTTCGTATCACTATTACAAATTAACTCATAACATCACAGGCAATTATACGTCTTTCGTGCGAGCTGAAACTGGAATACTCGAAAATCTGTGTTACCATAACACCTTCAATTTGATTGTTATTAAAAGCAAAGATGATTGGAATATAGAATGTAAGCGAAAAAAAAACAACTCCATAACACCGCTTCAAAGAATATGACCTACTTTATCCACTTCATTCCCCTCTGAAGTTACGTTCACATCAGAATCTAACTTCGGTGAGTTATCATCATTGTCGTTGTTATTTGTATCATGGGAAAGTGATGATTTTACTGAAGAGGACGACTGGATTATAGAATTAATCACATTAAGCATAGCTAAAACGAATACAGAGAAAGACGCGTACAAAATTCTTGACAAATCCAATAAGTTATTCAGAAGTATCTGATTAGATTAAATGAATCAACACTACTAAGCAGCTGCCAGATTCGATTATATATACTATCAATATCTCGGTTGAATGAATAACTGACAAAATCTATATTATTTAACTCGTAGAGAAAAGATTTTAAAACTAACAACGGAGACTTTCCACTGTAAAAAATACTATACTGTTTTACTGGTCATGATAACTAGCCGCAAAATCCAACTCATCATTAACGGAGGTTCATTCCAGCAATAAGTCCTAAAGACGACAATGAAGGGCAAACAAAGAGAACACATGCCTTCGTAAAAGAAACTTTACTGCTTCTCTTAGTCATCTACCTGAATGAGTTATCAGCATCATTTTAATTACTGAGAGAATTCAACCAGTAGGAATGAAATTTTTTCATTTTGATTTCTGCGGTAGAAAGAGGCGATGAATTACAAAAATCTTAGAATATCAAGTGATATAAAACAGGAGTCAAGAACATATTAAACAACTTTGACCTTTCACTTAGGGTAAACAATATAAATACTAATTATGAATTATCTTCATTCAGCAGATGGTTTCCAGGGTCTTGATTTGACTGGCTACAGAACGAAGTTGCGTGCAGTTCTAGTAAGAAGTCGTGATCAGTGAGGTCCATCCTGTCGGGATTGAGGACAAATGCTCACCAGTAACACTGGCTGCTGCCAGTCGTGCTAAAATCACGAATTAATAGAAGTTAGAATTCATGGACGATTGAAACGGATCCCGGTGGCTGAATGGTATACGAACTTGTCTTGTAACTGGAAGGTCCTGCGTTCGTAACCCGGTGGATGAGTCTCAGGCTGGGGTGAAACAGCTTTCCAGTACGCCTTGCTAGTTTTCAATGGTTCTCTAACTGATATCAATCCGTGGTCAAAATCGAAAAATAATATGTTTATTGTCAAATCAAATGAATATTCTTTACTTAACAACTACATGGATTTTATCTGCGTTTAGAAACGGATTTTGCACATTTCAATTATTATGTGTTACGCATGACGAGCCCATGCATATGTCAACAAGAAATGATGCATGATAAGATCCACTGTAGTTTCATTACACTTAGTTTCCTTACTTTTACGTGCGCTTCTCCGAAACACGATAACTTAAAGTGATTCACTTTTGTGCACGTTTCTACGTTAATAACTCATTCATTCAGTATATGAGACAACATCTCTCTCGCTAATCAGTATTCAATGCATCAAATAGATGCTGGAATGGACTTGGAAATATGAATATTTTTATAATTGTGTTTTATAGGAATCAGTATCTTTCATTATATAAGCCTATGTAGCAACTTTTCCAAACAAAAATCTGCACACGTCTACAACTCACCCGACTTAGACCGATGAGGTAGTTCAAACCGCATAGTACCGACTAACAAGTTTCTGTATATAAAAACAAAAAGACAGAAATAAATGAAGAAGAAAATCCTTTCGAATTTATCTTCCTTCGAAGTAAACAATTAAATGAAACATGTAAGCGCTGGGCGTCACATATAGCCAGTCGTTTTTTCCAACATATTTAAAAATCAGGCTAACCACTATGAGATCACATTCCTTGATAGATGTAGTATACTAAATTTCCGGTGTATGTAACAATAAGTGAAGAGGGGATTACACAAGAAAACGTAATCCATAATACTTGCATTAAGGAGTTTAACACATGGGACAGAGAAGTAATGTTGCAGACCTTATTTTTAATTAGAAGGAAGTTTTCGCAATCAGAGGAGACGATGGAATAATAACACCAACTGTCATGTAACTGAACTAAGTAACTGCAGTACCATATCATGGTGTACAAGTATAGCCACTGAGTGCCTACTTTCTATATTTAATGCACTTTTAATTCCTAGTGTCCTCACCAAAAAAGTATATAGTAATCATTATTTGTTTTTGCTGGGCTGACGGTGATGTCATCTCGTTACCTGGAACACTTTTGGATGAATTAACTGGCGAATAAATATTCATAGATTGATAGAATTGCCTAACTATAAAGCTTGCTACTGTTTGTTTTGGCTCGTGTTGAAAAGATTTCCACAACCAAAATGTCTACCGTGCAATAATCAACAGTTGAAGCTGCTTAGGGAACTTGCATAACCTAGCCTAGATTACTAGCTCGCTAGTTTTCTAGCCGGTCCCATGCCCGGATAAAGAGGGACGATTGGGGCGTGGTTCTAGCAACTCCACCACCAAAACTTAACCAAATTCCTACAAAAACTTCAACGCACAAATATATTAAAAATTCTAAAAATACAAACAATAACCTGACTTTTCGGTGGAATCGGGAAAGTGAAATGACGCAGGCTGGTGAGACCTCGCCTTCGGGAAGCCAGTCAGCCAACGTGTCTCCTTTCGATGAAACCAAAAATAAGGATGGCGACGTGGGATGTTCCTACAATGTACGAAACTGGAAAGGCTGCCCAGGTAGCCGCAAAAATGAGAAGATATAAAATAGAAGTGTTGGGAATCTGCGAGAGCACATGGAACGGATGTGGAAGGTGCCAACTACCAACTGGAGAGACAGTAATCTACTCCGGTCACCCAGAGGACAATCACGAGCAAACCGAGGGAGTGGCCATCATGATGTCACCAACAGCAGCCGAAGTTCTCATGCAGTGGGAACCAATCTCCTCCAGGATAATGACAGCCAGCTTCAACCCAAAAGGAAGGAAGGTTACAATCATTCAATGCTATGCGCCTACAAACGTCACAGAACAAGAGAAGAAGGAGGATTTCTACAGACAACTACAAACAGTAATGGACAACGTCCCAAAGGGCGATATCAGAATCCTGATGGGTGACATGAATGCGAAACTGGGAGGAGACAATACAGGAAGAGAAATAACCATGGGTCGTGAAGACTTCTGAGCCTTCAATAATTTGGTGATTGTTGGCAGTGTGTTCAAACACAGGGATATACACAAGGCGACATGGATTTCACCAGATGGACACACCAAAAACCAGATAGACTTCATTTCAATCTCAAGGAAGTGGAGACGGAGCATACTGGACACAAGGTCGAGGAGAGGATCAGATGTGGGTTCTGTCTGTCTGTCTGGATTCAACATAGAACTTGGCACCGAAGTGCAGCAGTTCGAGTTGCCTCGTTCCAAATAGCACACAAAGGTAGACAAGAAAATGAATGAAGAGAATCAATAGAGTTTTGACAAGTATAAGAGTGAAACACAATGAGTAATGGTAGAAAGGAATATGAAAGGTTAAAGAGACTGAATACATCTGCGCCATTGACAACGATTTTGAGCCATGTCACCTATTGTCTCCAGCCATTGATTCTTAGAGTCCCGAGGGCCCCAACCCGGAAGTCTGCATCTCCCTACCTGACTCAGTTTAACAGTCAGGGATTTCATGGATTGATGCCATGTTTTTGTTTGGCCACCACTTACTCTTCTCCAACCTGCACCTATATCAGCTAGTAATGCCCGTCGGGGGAGACGATGGTTAGGCATGCGTAGCACGTGACCTAGCCATCTCAATCTATGTAACTTCATGGCCTCTTCGAGTGATTTTCCCTCTTTGCCCAACACTCTACGCCTAACGTCAACATTACTTACCTTATTATACCACCTAACGCGAGAAAGAGATCGTAAACATCTGTGGTCAAAAACAGACAATCTTTTCATGTCTTCAACTCGTATTGGCCACGTCTCACCGCCATAGAGAAGGGCGGAGCGAACTGCTGAGCAGTATACACGTCCCTTGGTTGACAGTCGGATGTCACGCCTACGCCAGAGGCGGTGTAAGTTAGCGAAAGCGGCCCGAGCTTTCTGGATCCGTGCTGAGATTTCGTCACCAATCAGCCCGTTGGTGCTGATAACTTCCCATATAGGTGAAGTGGTCAACATGTTCTATCACTTCACTCCCTATCACTAAGTTAGGAGTTGACGTAGTCCAGTCCTGTAGCAGCATCTTACATTTCACAGGGGCGAATCGCATGCCAAACATACGAAGATTGCTGCTCAAGGTGTTCAGAAGACTGTGCATTTTGTCAGCATCCTCCCCTAACAGGACTATGTCGTCTGCGTATTCTAAGTCTATAAGGCTATTCCCTGGTAACAAGTCGATTCCTAAGTCGTTACGTTCGGTTAAGGATACTTCCATTAGCATATCTATGATGAAGTTAAACAGAAAAGGGGAAAGTGGACATCCCTGACGGACACCACTGGTTGTTATCAATTCAGATGACAATTCCCCATAAGCCCTTACACAGCTACGTGAGTTTGAGTAGAGTGCCTTGATTAGTGCAATGTACTTTCTTGGCACTCCCTTCATAGTCAAACATTGCCATAGAACCTCTCGATCCACGGAGTCGAAGGCCGCCTTCAAGTCAAGAAATATGGCAATTGTTGGACGCCTAAAAGTGTGCCTATGTTCTAGGATCTGTCGGAGAGTGAAGATATGATCTATGCACCCTCTACCTGGCCTAAAGCCCGCTTGATTTTCCCTCGTTTGTTCCTCCCGAGTTCGGCTTAGTCTGTTCATGATTACTGAGCCTAGGATTTTAGAGACTATGTTCGTTAAGCTGATCCCCCTATGATTATCACATGAGGACTTATCTCCCTTCTTGAATACTGGTATGATAAGTGACTTACCCCAGTCTGATGGAACCGTCTCTGATTCCCAGACGTTACCTAGTACCTTAGTTAAACTATATACTAGTATGTCACCCCATATTTAAACACCTCCGGAATAATTCCGTCGGGTCCTGCCGCTTTGCCTCGTTTCAAATTACAGATAGCTTTTGTGACCTCACCTACAGACGGCAGGCCAGTGTCTATATCCCATTCGGATGTGTGCTGGATGGCGGGGAGGCTCAGTATGGCTGTAGGCAAGTTAAATTGTTCCTCAAAGTGTTCTTTCCAGCGTTCAAGGCATCTATCCTGAGAGCTAATAAAGGAGCCATTTTTCTCAGAAATAGTCTCACTTATGATTTGCCTTCTCCCACCCGTTTCCCTGATGAGTCTAAAGAGTTGCCTAGTGTTGCCTATCGCCGATGCTTTTTCCATCTCTTTCGCCTTTGCCAACCACCACTGTTCACGGTCCTTGCGGAGACTTTTCGTAAGTTTCCTTTTGTGCAGCTTTCGCTCCTCATTGAATTCGGAGCTCGCCGGAATAAGTCTTCTAGCATCTATCAGTTCGGATGAGGCAGTCGAAATCCAATGGTTTTTACTCACCTTTGGATTTACCTTATTCACAGCTTTTACAGCTGTATCTATGGCTGACTGAATATTTTTCCAGGCTTCTTCAGGATGAGCGCAGCTGTCAAACTCAGATATGTGTTTAGCTAGTTCTTCCTCAAATAGGGACTTAGTTTCCCGATCGAGCTGGGGACGTGGTGGGTTTACCGCCAGCTGTTTCCTACGTCCGTTCAGTCGTAAGCACACACGAGCGCGGACCAGTGCGTGATCGGTATCTACACACGTGTTCCAGAAGGAGCGACAATCCCCTACCGACCCACGCCAACGATAGCTTATTGCTATGTGGTCTATTTGTGTCCAGCGTTGGTTTGATGATGGAGGTCGCCAGGTAAGACAGTGTCTCTCCTTGTGTTTGAAGTTAGTGCTTACAAGAAACAAGTGATTATCTGAACAGAACTGTAGGAGACGGTCACCGTTGTCGGTTCGCTGGCACGGAATTCCGTATGTGCCACCGACATTCTTCTCAGATTGACACAATTTCCCTACTTGAGCATTAAAGTCACCAGCTAAAACGACTATATCTGAGCGTTTAGCCTTTCGCAGCAAACTAGACAGCTTTTGGTAGAACTCATCCTTCGTTTCATCCGAACTGCAGTCAGTGGGGGCGTAGGCGGAGATTACGAAAAGGCATCGGCGGGTAGTGCAGTCCTTTCTCCTTTTCACTGATCCGTTCAGGCGGACAGCACACATTCGGCTATCTACCGGGATCCAGTCAAGTAATGTCTTTTCTGCTCTAGTACTTAAAGCTATCCCAACACCAGCTAATCCTCGTGAGCTAGCCGTCGCATCCCCTGACACCCTCAAGGTGAATTTTGAAGATTCATCCTTTTGGCCAGGTGGGGTTAGGTGAATAACAACACTTGGGTCCTGTATGCGTGTTTCTGAGACACAACATACATCAATGGCTCGGGATACCAGAGTCTTGGCTAGTGATGCCTGTTGTCCTATTTGGCAAAGTGTCCTAACGTTAAATGCCCCTATATGAAATTGGTGGCGTGGCTTTAGGAGACTATCGATGGTGGCTTTTTGGCTTCCATCGTTATCAGTGCACACAGAGTGAAGAGGAAGTGAAGGGCCATTAAGTAGAGGAGTTGCATTAGTAGAAGGAAGGTAAGATAATAGAGATGAAGATGAAGACAAAGGTGAGTGAGGAATAGAGAGGTTTCGCGTGCTCTTCGGGTTGTGAGGGCGATTGTTACTTCCCGGCTGCCTACACCGTGGAAGTTGGTTGCGTGACCGCAGAGCCCAGGGGACAACTGCTTGAGGCCGGTCACACACGGCCTGTTTTTGTTTGTTCTTTTTTATCTGGTGTATCTCAGTAGCGTATTTATCACTTCTGCCCTGTGACACGGCAGCAGAAAGCGCGGTCGTTGTTAATCCGGGCCCCGACCGATGCGGCATGATATTTTGTGATTTGTTTGAAGTCATAGGATTGGATTGGGTAACTGCTTTTAGTCTAACCGCTATCCAAACAACCTTTCTGGCATGGTAAGACCTGCAGGAACATAAGTTCCAGCCAGTATAGTTTGTTAGGTCATTGCGGTGTTCAAGCCCGACCACCACGTCAAGGTAGCAGCTTTCGGTCGGGAGATGTGGGTTCAGACCACTATCTAGTACAAGTGACTTTCAAGGTGAAGCTAAAAGCCTCGAGGATAGCTGGATAGCTGGGGATAGGCCACAATGCAAGTTCAACACGCAAAAACTGAAGGACACAACCACAAAGGACACTTTCACTGCAACTGTCAGAGCAAAGCAGGAAACACTACGTGACATCACGGAAGAATCATGCGTGGAAGACCATTGGAACCCTCTGAAGGTGATTTTCAACGAAACGTGTTCAACGGTTTTAGGAAGAAAGAAGAGACACGGACACTTGGAAGCTTATAGAGGAGAGGAGAATGGTGAAAGAAAAAATGTTTCAATGCAAAGATGGACAAGAGAAGGAGACGCTGAGTTCAACTTACACAGCACTGGACAAAGAAGTGAAGAAGAGTGCCAGGAAGGACAAAAAACAATTCTACGACTATCTGGCCACTGAAGCTGAGAAGGCAGCAGGCAAAAGCGACCTGAGGCATTATATCAGATAACCAAGTCTCTATCCGGGAAGAGATCAACACAAGTGAAACCTATAAAAGACAGCCAAGGGAACCCAATTACCAAGGAAGAAAGACAGATTAAACAATGGGTGGATCACTTTAAAGGACCACCTGCAATCCGTCCAGAAATACCAACAATAGCGCGTAAAAAACTGCAAGTTGACACCGATCCTCCAACGAAAGCTGAAGTCTTGAATGCAATCAAGCTTCTGAAAGCTGGAAAAGCAGCTGGACCAGATGGAATACCCCCTGAAGCACTGAAAGCGGACCCAGAAACAACAGCAGATATGCTGACTCCATTATTGCAAAACGTCTGGAAGGAGGGAAAGGTGCCTACTGACTGGAGGAAAGGTTACCTTGTGAAATTACCAAAGAACGGCGCCTTAGGACTCTGTGAGAACTGGCAAGGAATCATGCTCCTGTCAACGCCAAGTAAAATCCTGAGTCGCATCATCCTGGAGAGAATAAAGGACGCACTGGATACAGAACTCCGAACAGAACAAGCTGGATTCAGGAAAGGCAAATCATGTTCTGACCAAATTGCAACTCTACGCATCATCATCACGGAACAAAGCATGGAATGGCAATCAAACCTCTACCTCTACTTCCTTTATCGACTTTGAAAATACCTTCGACAGCGTTGACCGTGAAGTAATTTGGAAACTACTCGAGTACTACGGCGTACCCCAAATATTCATCAACCGTATTCAACAGCTGTACGACAACGGCACATGTCAAGTGATCCACAACGGAAAACTCAGTGAGGCTTTTGGAGTAAACACAGGAGTCAGACAAGGGTGCTTATTATCACCAATGATATTCCTAATTGTGGTGGACTGGATTATGCGTCAGACAGTGGGAAATGAGAAGACAGGGATATCCTGGACCGACGTGAAGAACCTAGAAGACCTGGATTTCGCGGATGACTTATGTCTGATGTCACACAAAATCGAAGACTTGCAAGCGAAAACCGACAAACTGGTCAAAGAGGCTGGCAGCAAAGACAGGACTCCAGGTGAACGTAAACAAAACAGAGGTTATGAAAATAACCAACCAACAACAACAACAGCAACATCCAGTGCCAATCACCATCAAGGGGAGGGATTTGAAAGAGGTTACTTCATTCACTTATCTAGGGAGCATTGTCTCAACTACAGGAGGAACGGACGCGGATATCAAATCGAGAATCGGGAAGGCGAGAAACACATTCATCAACCTGAAACCAATCTGGAAATCTTCGTCACTCAGCATCAACAACAAAATTCGGATTTTCAATACAAACGTCAAGTCAGTTCTTCTATACGGTTGGATCAGAAACTTGACGGGTCACCCAGAATATTTCCAACAGCCTGTTGCAGACCTTTATCAACAGCTGTCTTCGTTCTATACTGAAGATCAGATGGCCGGAAAGAATCACCAACAAGAAACTATGGGAACAAACAAAACAAGAACCAGTCGCCAACCAACAAATATGCAGGAGAAAGTGGAGAAGGATTGGACACTCGCTGAGGAGGTCGCTGGGTGGCATCGCGCGTCAGGCCATAGCTCGAGTGGAACCCGGAAGGGAAGCGGCGAGTGGGACGTCCAAGGGTGACATGGAGGAAATCGTGTGAAGAGGAGTTGAAACAGCATGGACTAACATGGATGCGAGTGAAAAGTACAGCAGAAGACAGAAGCAAGTGGAGGCGTGCAGTTGAAGCTCTATGTTCCACTAGGAACCCAAAGGAACAAAAATAATAATAATATGATTCCACATAGTATTTTGGTACAGCTATGGAATTTTCAGCATGTGATATCGGTAACCCAAATTTAGCAGGCCGACCATTGATATCAGGTGTGCTTTAGCCGCGGATAGAGCTCTGCACCATCCGCATGGTCGGCGAGAGTCCTAAGCACTGTGCCGCCAACGCACAGATTTCTCACGACGAAATATTCCCCTAAATAAGGCAGGATACATGAACTGAGTATGATGCACCATACTATGTGTGAATATTCGAATATATTCATGAAGTATCTGTAGCTGGGTACATTGTTGTTAGTTGTTAGCTCTTATCTAAACCATGAAGAAATATATAAGAAAAATACTACAAATATCCAAACAGGTTGATGACCACGAACTGAAAATATGCAACAACTTCCCAAACAATATCAGCGATAGAAAGAAGGGGAAATGGAAGTTAACTGATGAAAATAAAAAAACCATCATCGTTGATTTTATTTAACAACATCCCATTGGACCCACCAGTGATTTACACGTCAGTAACGATGGAACGACTGCGGAAAATATGATGTGGCAAGTGTAAATGTAAAGAAGATAATCAAAAAGATTCGGTAAGTTAGAATTCCCCCCTAAATAGATGAATCAAAGGCTTATAGACCAGCTAACTGCGACTGTTCTGTAAAAGCACTGATAACAATAGTAAATGGTCATGGTCGGTCGGTCGGTTTTCGACATAGAACTTTGCACATATGTGCGGCAGTTCAAGTCGCCACACTCCATGTAGCACACAAAGCAAGAGAAGAAAGTAGAAGAAATGCATATTAGAGACAGTAAACAGAGGTGTGAGACAAAGGAATAGTAATAACGAAGAACAAAACAGTTTAATTGGAAATCATAGGTCACAAGGAGTGGATGCATCTGCCCTAGCCATTGAGAACGATTTTGAGCCATGTCACCAATTGTTTCCAACCATTGGTTTTTACCGTCCCGAGGACCCCAACCAGGAAGTCTACATCTTCCTACGTGGCTTAGACTAACTGTTGTGGATTTCATTGACTGGTGCCATGTTTTCGTTTGACCGCCGCTAGCTCTTTTCCAGCCTGACCCTATATCAGCTAACATTGCCCGTCGAGGAAGGCGATGACTAGGAATACGTAACACATGTCCTAACCATCTCAGTCGATGCAATTTCACAGTCTCGTCGACTGATTTCCCCGTCTTACCTAGCACTCAACGCCTAACCTCAATATTGCTCACCTTATTGTACCACTTCACGCGGGAGATAGAACACAGACACCTATGATCGAAGACAGTTAATCTTTCCATGTCTTCCGCTCTCAATGGCCATGTCTCACTCACAGCCATAAAGGAGGACGGAGCGGACTGGTTAGCAGTACACCCGCCCTTTGTCGATAGCCGGATATCAGGTCTACGCCAGAGACGGCGTAAACTGGTATATGCAAGACTAGCCCTCTGTATTCGCACTGGTCATGGAGAATAGGCCCAACTTAACACTGCATGTTATGTTACTAAAACACTTGAACCAATCAGGAGAAAGTGAGATTAAATAGGCGTTCAAATATAAACCACATACAGAAAAGTCATAGTTAAACTAGTCACGAAAACATTCTCTTCAACATCTCACAATTAACACCTACGATATTAAGCAGTCTATTTATTGAAAATTCTGTTGTTGGGAGTTCTTAGTTCAGAGGAAAATGCGATTAGGTCCATCCTGGATTCAGTAACAAGTGCAATTTCTGCATGTAATTCCAAAAATGAAATATATCACTTACCGACTATGAATAATATGAATTTCCAAAGATATTTGGTCCATAAATACTTCTTGGGAACCGTTTCTTCCATTGTGGACGGAGGCTGGAATTTAAAGAAAATGGAAAAAGACACTAATAAGTTTTTTTATATACTGTCAGAGATCAATGCCATGTTCATACGAAGTAGTTTTCTCTAGCTTATATCATTTATAGCAGAAGCCAGATGTTCGACCTCAAAAAACAATTATTTGTACTTGTACTGTAAAATACTGTCGAACAAGTATCCACAGCCAATACTATCTTCACTAACTTGCTCAGGTTCAGTAGAACTGTTATGTGAAGAGGGGAGAGATAAAATGAAATAATAGATAAAACAGATTAGTGAATCAATGTAGTTGTAAACACCAGTCATTTGAGGGGTATGTGTCATGCTGCATCGTCTACTTCAACGCATATTTTTGGGTAAGATAAAATTAGTTTGGAAGGAAACGAATTATAAACACGCCAAAACATAACAATAATCTCTGAAGTCACCGACTTTTGGTATGAGTTGCGTACAGAGTGTAGGTAACCCGTTTGAGTAATAATAATAATAGTAATAATAATAATAGTAATAATAATAATAATAATAATAATAATAATAATAATAATGAGCTCTACTCTCAGTAATATAATCAAATAAAGGTTAACCAAAATTGTTGACTGACTACTTTATCAGGGCATAAATTTCTACCGGTTGGAGTTACAACACATAGAAAGTGAACTGAAAAAGCATAATTAAACCAAAATAAACGAAAATGTACAACAGAAAGAATAATTAGCTGTAAATTAGTGAGAATTATCAGCATCTTGAAGATGAAGAGTAATGAATGCAACCGCGCTATTTTTAACGATTCTTAGCCATGTCCAGTATCCAATCATTGATTCTGAGTATCTCAACAATCTCAATCGGCCAGTCTAAACTTCTTTATGTACATCAAACTAATAGGCATAGACTAAATTTCATGGTGATATGTTTTGGCCTGTCCTCAACATATCACCTGAAATTTCCTTGTCAAGGTTTGAGGTGGGATGGTCTGCGTAACTCACATACTAGCCACCTAGATATCAATTGAAAACCAGGGATGGTTTAGGCCCGGAAGAGAGTGTACTGGTTATATCTTCATAATTTAACAGATTCTAGAATCTATGAGTACTTACTGGCGTGCAACACTTGCCATATCCGGCCGTGAAAGGAGTGTCGAAAAAGGATACCACACTAATCGATGCACTCTACCCACAATCACACAGCCACTTGAGGGTTCATGAAGATTTGTCACCTGAAGTGATGACAACCACCGGTAACCGTCAGAGACACCCGATGTCTTCATTTTTGTCTAGTTTCATCGTAGATATACTGATGGATTTACACCTATTATATTTCAGAGACTTACAGATTGACTAGTTGCCAGGGGACAGTTTCGTAATGACATCAGTTCATGAAGCTTTCTACTGCTGGTTTGAGCCACGTAAAAAGGTGCACAGTCTGGTATGGTTTCTCACGACGCTAAGAAACAATAGCTGTAGACTGTTGGTAACATGGTTGGAAATTGTTCTTAATGACGCAAATGCATTCACCCTTTATGAACTCTTGGACACAACGAATATCATTATTCCCTATGTTCTAACTTTTTCTTCCATACATCTCTGTTCATTAAAGTTCAAATGCACTTTTTTGTCTGCCTTTTTTGCTCTATATGAAACTGACAAATTTAACTGACGCACTTTAGTCAAATGTTCTAGGATAAAAAATTAATCTCAATCGGTTAATTGAAGTGCAACAACAGATTGTTTCCATATACACAGAGGAGGCCTGATCCTACGAACTGCTATCTCTTCAGCATATATTATTATTTGCCGATTGATAGCAATTTCAGCATCTCTCACAGATAAGTCGGTGCAATGGTTAGCAAAACTTTAGACCGCTTTCGCAATGAGTTGTGGTAGTTTTGTTTGAAAGGTATTTCTGAACTTGTTGATTATCTTTCTTACATTAATAATAAGACACAAGTGCAGCCAAGACGTAATATAATCACTGTTGTATTATAAATATCTTTAGAAAGCCTCATGGGACCTAATGAGTATTCAGATCTTAGTGTAACGGCAGAAGACAAGAGACGTAGTAGCGGAATGTTTATTTGGAAATTGGTAATTATATACACCTTATTTGAAAACCATCATTTGCACAGATCTTCCGTGTTGAGCTACTTCTACCCTTCATATTGGGTTTCTTTGTCTTCTTTACGTGTCCACCATGTTTTGCTGCAAAGCTGGTTCATTTGCTCTTTTTGACCTCAAATCTATCTCTCTGTTATTTGATGTTTTATGCCGATGAACATCTCTTTATATACTACTGGTAAGTCTTATCAGTAGCGCGTGCCACATCAGTAGTATTGTTTGATAAATAGGATCAAGTGAACTGCTGGCTATTGACATATGGATCATATAGTTAAACTACAGCTTATAAACTTTAAAAGATGAACAATTAAGTTCTGTAATAGAATCTCAAACACTGAATGAGAAAGGAATGTGTTGCGTTTCAGCTTACAAACATTTTTTAATCTAATCAGACAAATCTGAATTAAACTGAAACAAATATACTGAAAAATCCACCTATTTGTTATGTGATTATTGTACAAGGTTTTACGTTGTTATATCCACTCTTAATAACAGATATTTCCGATACTATCATGAACTACAATTTTTTTTTCCTTCACCTTCCCCAGTGGAACATAGGGCTTCAAGCTAGTGACTTGAAGTTTCTGTAGCAGTGTTTATTTTACAGGATGGGGTTGCTAGCCTCATACCCAACCTTTCCTCTTCACCAGCATTATTTCTGGCTTAGTGAGGTAAAGGAGTGCGTCGGCCAGGGATCAAACCCCGGACCATGTACATGGGCGGCGAGCGTCCTAACCGTTATGCCACCGACGCACATGAACTACAATTAGTTTTGTTCAATTCTCAACTTAATTATTTCCATTTGAAACATAAATAATGAAGGAAATCTAATAATAAATCTTGAGGATTTATTATTAGATAAATAAAAATAAAGGACAACTAACCAGCATCAGTTCCGGCCTTTCTTGAAAAAGAACCCAGAGCGAACAGTAGACATGGAGATGTCAGTAAAAATTCACCAACTGAAACGATGCACATTTTTCTACAAGATGATACCGATGATATTCCATCTTCTAATTCAGTTAAATTTTCCGCGGTAGTTTCAACAGAACCGATTTCAAAAGTATAAAGGACCTGATGAAAATTTAATATCAAAAAAAAAAAAATACAAATACTTGAAATAAACAAATATAACTGTACAGCCTCACATAAATAAAAGCTACATTCAAGATAAGGCATATGTGTATGCCACATCAACGAATTAAAAAGTGAGGCAATAAACAATATGAATCGTGCAAATGGATGAAATGAAAACAAGTGGTGAATAATCTAGACCCTTCTAGTGGCTTTAATATGAACAGCGAATTGTTTTTGAATAAATGTTGTAAATTTATGCCTTATTCTCTGCCGAATGTGATAAAAATTAGAGAAGAGGTGATAAAGATTTCATGAAACATCACAACACAAAAAATCGTTAATAAAGCCAACAAGTTTAGATTAATATAGGGAGTGTAACAACTGAATATATATTTTCTGTAATCACTAACCTCTCACATTTTTGACATAAGCCAATTTCATTATTAGGCTGTAGAGTACGATCTATTGCAAAGTATAGGAAGAAATATCGCTAACCTAGTTATCTGAAAAGTAACGAATATTATTGGTTGATAGCCACAATCAAATAAAAGTGGGCAAACTAAGGTCAGGTGAAATACCGACATTATAATGCAGAACATTGATGATGTGGCAAAGAATTCTCCTTGATGCAGAGTATGCAGATTACAGTGACCTCTTAGATAAGGAAGATGACGAAATGCAGTCTTCTAAATACTTTGAGCAAATATCTGAGTATGTTCGGTATGTAATTTGCCCTCTACCAATGCAGTACTAGTCTGCATCAATTCCAACCTTAAAGAACGAAATATGTGGACCACTTCAGTTATTTCAGAAGTTATATCAGCCCTGAAGAACTGACTTTTGGCGAAATCTCAGCACACATACAAGAAGACTGTCTTTTCTTATTTTCACACCCGTGTCTGTCTGCTGTTCTTTTCTTTTATGTATGATGTTCTAAGTACGGTGGCCTGAAGTGATGCACTTACGTATACACAGTCATGAGTGGATTAGTTTATAATTCAGTTATTACAGGACATCAAGCCATAGCACATAGATATATTCTACGCGTACATTCTCAGTGTAAAAAGAAACAGGACCAGTAACGGACAAGTATGAAATTCGAGCATTTACTAATCTTCAAGTCACAAAAACCACAGCAAACTAGTGATTCCGGAAGTTGATTTTCCAAGACTAAGCAAAAACCGGCAATAACTACTACATAGATAATGCCCCAAACCCATGAAAATATAAAAAGCAAAAATCATAAATGCATTTGATCGATTAATTGTATTACAGATATGATAATTGATAAAATGGTTCGAGGAATATTTTTTAACCATTTCGATTGGTTGAATTTAATCAATATGCATTTGAACGTAGATCCATAAAATGAAGATAATTATCTCCTATTCACAAAATAAAGCCAGAAAAGCAAGCAGCTTTCTCAATCACAGATAGAATAAAAGAAAAGAGATAATAGCCACTATCTATCTTGTGCTAAGTTATGAAAAAGAATCATTTGTAGTAGAGTACGATGAGAAATAAGGATCATCATCCTCTGATATAACATTGGCATTGTTCATTTCAGCTGTCTCATTTAAAAACTCATGAGATAGTTGGTTTAGGCCTTGTTCAACACCTGAAACAACACCACAATCAATAATATTATTATCACTTTCATGTAGTTTACGCTCTTTTGCACAGTCCTCATTATTTGAAAGTTCATTCCCACCAGTTACCATATTATTCGAGGTTATATTTGGACATGTACTATTTAGTGAATCATAATAAGACACTGAATTTGTTGGCCAAGAAGCTCTTTGTAAAGGCTGATCAGTTGTTTGTTTTCGTGGACTTGTTTGTGAAATTAAATTAGATTTTAACGTAGGTAGACTTCGTTTACATTGAGAAGATAGTAATAAAAAGGGATGTCTAGTTCCTGATTCGTTGACACCTACTGTTGAACAATAAAGATTCTTTGAAACATCTTCAGTTTCTTCATTAGTACTACAAACATTTAAGTTCACTTCCTGAAGGTTATCAGGACTTGGATTAATAGAACAAGATTCGATATGTTCGCCGCTACCTGACACAGAGTTTTGAAGCACTGAAAATGATCCCGTTTGACTAGGCTTTTCTCGTCTTTGACGAATATTGCGACGCCGTTTCGCTGAATACCTGCGACTGTTACTTACGGATGTGCTTCTGACTCGTTTACGTGCAATAACAGATGCTCTACGAAATGGGCAAGTTCGTCTTCGGCACGATGATGATCTTGTACGATTTGAAGACCGATTCACTGGTCTTAAAGAATTAGCTGAAGTCCCAGTAACAGGTAAACATCCTGTGTGTGATCGAAATCTAGTGTCACGAGCACATGTCTCTGCCATGGATGAACGCTGTCTGTTGGATGCAACATCACCCATCATATTTGTTGAATGATTACAATGCGAGGAAATCAGTCCAGATTCAGGGTTACTGTGTCTATGAGATCTATAAGACCGACAATGTGATATGCGACGTTGATGATATCTTCCACGAGCACTTCGAGATTCAAAACGTCTTGAACGAGTCATTTTTGTTTACTATGAAGAATTATTTTTTATTGAGTTGTGAATGCACACATAAACAAGAAACTGCGAACGAATTCAAAGTAAAATCGATACTTTATTTGATCGATTAAGACAAAAAGACAACTAGATGACGCTAACACTAATTAACTATATTCACATATTACTGAAAACAAAAATGTCAAATATTAGTTTTGTAGACCTTCATACGCTTAAAATAGTCCTTACAGATTAAAATATGTATAAAATACACTGCAGAGCTAGTATCGAGTATATCTGTTGTAATACAAATGATCTAATATCTTATTCTCAGAAAATAAAACAATCAAGCAATTTTTTAAATAAGAAATGCGAATACAACGATTCACATTTCTCTCCCAATGAACTACGAGACCATAAGCAAAAGCAAATAAGTAATGTCTATATAAACACTTTACATGAACACTTAGAAAGACCATTGCTGGCATAATAGGACAAACAACTTCAGAAAAAATTTAAGTATCACAGAACAGTGTTTAGAGTTAATCAAGTAAAATCAACTCAAATGTAAAGATGTTTGTTTCAGACTAACCATAATTTTTGCGCACATAAGTGCGATTATATTAAAACATTTTCGAACTTCAACTGTAATTGCAAATAACTGAGTTTAACACAACTTTTGTTCTTCACACTTATCACTCACAAACTTAACGATTAGACACTCTCTCCCTAGAAATATTGCTGACACAGTTAAACAAAATATTATAATTTACTAAGTAATCACTAGTGGATTGAATACAAAGAAAAAACAAGTTGATCGGGGTCAATAAAGTTATCAGAGCATAAGGATTTACCCGGAGCTAAAATGATACACACCACTAGGCTATATCATCTAGAAACATGACTGGCCAATGTCACGCGTAACCTGGCACACAATATTAGGATTCAACCCCACTTGAATAAAAAAAAACTGTACTGTCAAAACAAAATGATAGAAAGCCTATCGGCACTAGTTCCAATCAACACACTACCTATATATAAACATAGATAAAACAAAGCTAAGATATGCAAGCAACAAGAACAAATTATACTCTGAGTACTTCGAAGAGGAGTTCAGTGAGTGCAACAGCACAACCCTTGCAGCTTCTCCTAAACTCCACGAACAGTATGCAGACAACAAACAATCCATTCGAACACACACACACACATACCACAACACAAAATACGATGGGACGGTCAACCAATTCAAAATTCACATACTTAAGTCCAGATACATATCAATATCTTCAGCAATTCCACACTGAACCCATGCAATACGAATAACGAGATCTCAGTCGAATAATCAATAAACAGGGGGAAGTAAAACGTAAATAACATGTATAAAGCAGAATTGTAAGTCGGATTTACACACCGACATCATAACATTATCAGCACTAAACTGTACTCAAAACTCCATCCACTCAATAATACTACTTTATCACTCAGTGTATCTTACACTAACACAACTCATCTCATATGCAATTCATACACAATTATTAGTCGAGTATCAAGTCGTTCAACAAATCCGTCTATATTTATATGCTATCTTACAATACTGCTTATCTCCCATTGAAATTTTGGCTTCTTTTATGACCACCTCATTTCTAACATTTCAACTAGTTCACATTTACTCTGAATTAAATTTAAATTTAACTACACTGCTAATGCTCAGATAACGAGAATCAACCAATATATGATAAGATACATCCAGTATATTCTTCACAAGTACTACTTGACAGAGTGACATGTATGTGTATGTATGACATGCCTCAGAAACAAGGGTCATCAACTTATCTCCACCGGCTGGCTAACTTATCGGTTAAGCTTCAACTTACACATAGTACGTAGGTTTATGTTCCACCACAATGTCAAGTATATGATTCGGTTCTACGCATCCGTTTACAAGGTAGTGAATCTACTTTACCCCCCACCCCACCCCAGCACTCTTAAGTATTAAAGTATTCAAGTATCCATAGGCCATACAATTTAAGCGAATATTTTGTCAAGGTGAGTGGGAAAAGTAGCGGAGTATTTTAGACCAAGGTTTTGGAACAGTTATAAGTGATCAGTGAAATGCCATTTTCACATTATAGGGAAGATTTGTGGCTTAGGTGGATGATTTTAACATAGTTGTATTGTCGCAGCTGGCTGATTACATTGCGAAGTTTTCATTGTCTCCGTCAAGTGCAGCGGGAAGACCTGTTTGTGTGCATACATAAATGGGTTAAATGGGAAATACTTCAGACCATTTCACGAATGAATCTTCAACACTTATTGGCTAAAGCATTTGGCTTTCACGCAGTCGATCTCCGGCTCGAGTTCCGCATACTTCTTCCGTCTGGACAATCAGGTAGTATCATGATCTGTTATATAATAACTGTGTGGTTTCATAGCCTTGTCAATGAAAGACCAGTTCTGTGTAACCGAATTATAAAAACAACAACCTAAACCGCAAATCACATATGAATGTAGGAAACTTTATACTGTTCTTCTCATGGATATCCTCCTGAAGTGCTCCAAATATCTGAATTAGTTGTCAAGGGGTAATGTATAAATGAACTAGGAAAATGCAATGGCAGTTTGTGATGGTCCAACGGACACCGTTTTAAACAATGAAGGTTTGAGTGAAGTAAACCTTTTAATAGTGCAAATAGTTGGCGGAATGATTCTAAGATGTATTGCTTGATTACAAAACCACTCTCTTTATACGCATTTTTTGTCTCCTACTTCATAGTATGGCATGTCTCGAAAAAAAGTAGTCAACATGTAACAAATGAGTTAATCGCTTTACCAGGTTCAAGCAGCCAGTTAGTGTCGACAGCACTATGCATTAAAAATACCTTGTCAAAAACAAACGTAAATGTACATATTGAAATTATTCCTGGCCTTAGTGAAATATATGAAAATTAATTTCAGCAAATACATGTAACACTGTTTGTAGTTACTCAGTCGAAATTCATCAAGGTTATTGGCTAAACAGTAAAATAAAGAGGAGAAAACCGTGTGCGTGTATGTATTTGTATTCGGTTGATAAAGATTAACAATTATCACGCATCAGATATCAATGCACAAAAAGCTTCATTCTTACCCTTCTCGTTACATCTGCAGCAATAAGAAACGAAGCTGTTCTGTCTAGAAACAGTAGCAAACCAGGTTTTAACGACGGCATATTTGCTTGTTTTAGTGGATCTAGATTTAACGCACCGGGACAAAAACGTACAGTTTGCAAACAGGACCAATCTAAACATGACCAAAGTCGTATCTCTCGATTAAACTGAGCACCGGTTAGAAGATGACTCCATGTTGAGCTGAAGTTAGAAGAATACAGAAACGAAAAAAGACAGCATGAATTAAGTTTTGTTTTCATTGTTTTACTTTATAATGATCCACAAACATACGTCATATTCTACAACAGTGTTGCCAACAGCACGGAAGGATCACCACCTATATGTTACGCTCTAATTGATGAAGGGCGAAGATTTGAATTTCATAGCGAACATGGTCCTCAAAACTGTTCTACACTACAGTGAACTTAGTAGGGCGCAGCCTAAGTAGTTATGACTGAGGTGATTACCGAAGGTGTATCTGAAAACTACAAGGAACTTATGTAGTATGTGGAATAAAATCCGCATCACCCAATGCTGTAAAGACAGACGTTGCCACTGAGGTATTCGGATTGTAATGGTTGTAATGATTGTTCACTGGGGAATAACCAGTGTCATGTCCCTTAATGGTTTTGTCTGAATTCTGTTTGAGGTTTGCTCACTATGGTTTCAGACACACCTTTTTAATGAATGCCAATAAGCATGAAGCTATGTAAGGCGCTTTCTACTGACAACCATAAATCACTGATTCAAAATGTGCACCGCAATGGCGTGTTTTCTAGGTCGGTGACCATTTTGTAAGCTAACTGTTGAATTTAGTCAGTGGTGCTAGGGACTGACTGACTGGTTTCAACGTAGGACTTTGAAGAGATGTGCAGCAGCTCGAGTTGTCACATTAAATGTAGCACACAAAGCAAGAGAACATAGTAAAGAGAGATTCAAAACAGAGATAATAAACAGAAATATGAGGCAAAAAGAATAGCCACATGGAAGAATAATACAATTTTTTGATATTATAAACCAAAAGCAGTGAATGCGTCTGTCTTTTTTTTGATGTAGTTGTGTTTCGCTCACGGCCATAAAGGAGGACAGAGCGAACGGCTGAGCAGTACACACACCCTTTGGTCGATAGTCAGCCTGATATCACGTCTACACCAGAGATCACATGGCGTGGCGGGCATATGCCAAACAGGCCATCCGTAACCTTACTGAGATTTCGTCGGCGATCAACCCACTGAAGCTGCCTCAACTGATACAACTCCCCAAATAAATGAAGTGGTCAACACGCTCAGCCACAACTTCAATCCCTATCTCTAAGCTAGGAATAAATCGATGTAGTCCGTCCAGTCCTGTAGCATCATCTTACATTTGACAGCAGGAGCGAGTCACCTGTCTGCCTGCCAAACATTCGAAGATTGCTGCTCAGCTCAAGGTGTTCAGAACACTCTGCATTTTGTCAGCGTCTTCACCTAGGAGCTGGACTATTTCATCTGAATATTATAAGTCAACGTGACTATTATTCCCAGATGGCAACAAGTCAATCCCTGAATCGCTGAAGTCAGTTAGCGTCAATTCCATTACTACATTTGTGATGAAATTAAACAGAAATGGAGACAGTAGACACCACTAGTTGTCATCAATTCAAATGATAACTCGCCGTAAGCTCCTATCTGGCTGCACGAGTTCGAGTAGAGTTCCGTGATCAGTGCAATGTATTTTCTCGACATTTCCTTCACAATAAAACATCACCCTAGTACACCCAGCGGTCGACGGAATCGAATACCACTTTCACGTCAAGAAATACGACGATGATTATTGGACAACAGTAAGTATGCCTATGCTCCAGAATATGTTCAAGGATGAGGATATGACCAATACACTCCCTTCCTCCTCTGAAGCCTGCCTGTTTCTCTCATGTTTGTTTCTCTCCTGGGACTTTCTATACCATATTAGCCAAGGTAATCCCCCTGCGACTATCACAGGAAGACTTGTCTCCCTTCCTGTGTATCGGGATAATCAATGATTCACACCAACCCGACGGGATTTCCACTGATTCCCAGATGCTGTCTAATACCTTAGTTAATGCAGACAGTAACCTCTCTCCACCATCCTTAAATAACTCTGGAATCATTCCACGAGGCCCCACTGCTTCGCCTCGTCTCATATTAGTCATAGCTTTTGTCACCTTAAATAGGGACGGAGGACCTGTGTCTATATCCCACTCGGGGAAGTGCTGGGTGCTGGGTAAGTCGAGTGTGGCTGTATGCCTACTAAATTGCTACTCGAAGTCTTCTTTACAACATTCTAGTCGTCTATCCTGAGAGCTGATTACGGTATCATTTTTCTCATAGATTGATATCAACTGCTACTCTGTCAACAATATTTTATGTCCATTCAATCGTAAGCAGGCATTAACATGAGCGAACCAGGGAATGATCGGAGTCTACGCACGTATTCCAGAAGGAGCCGAACTCTTCTATTGACCCTCCTCAACGATATCTTATCCCTATGTGTTCTATTTGAGACCAACGTTGATTTCGTGATGGAGATCGCCAGGTTACGCAATGCCTTAAGTTAATTTTGACTAGGAACAGGTGATTATCTCAACAGAATTGTAGAAGACGATCAACGTTGTCGGTTCGTTAGCAGGGAACTCTATACGCGCCACCTACATACTTCTCAATCTGGCACAACTTCCTCACTTGCGCATTGAAGTCGCCTGCTAAAACAACTATATCTGAGCGTCTTCCTTTATGCAGCAAATCAGACAGTTTCTGGTAGAAGTCATCCTTTAGTTCATCCCAACTGCAGTCGGTTGCGGTGAAAGCGGAGACTACGAAAAGCCAAAGACAGGTAACGCCATCCTTCCCTCTTCTAACGGATCTGTTCAGACGGACCGGACACATACGACTTTCTACTGGGATTCAATCAAGAAGTGATTTTTCTGCCCTAATACTCAATGCTACCCCTACACCTGCGAGTCCTCATGAGCTACCTGAGGGGTCTTCTGACCCCCTAAAGTGAATTTCGCAGATTCACCTTGTTGGTCGGGTGGGGTTAAGCGAATAACCACATTCGGATCTTGTATGCGTGTCTCCGAAACACAACATACATCCATGGTTCGAGATGCTAGTGATGCCTGTTGTCCGATTCGGCAGAGAGTTCTGAATTTGAATGCTCCTTTATGAAGTTGGCGGTGTGGCTTTAAGAGGCTGTCGGGGGTGTTTCTATGGCTGTCATCGTTGTTCGTGGTCACAGAGTGAAGTGAAGATGACTCGTCAGCCTAAAGAATACCAATTGTAGCAGATGTATCCACTCCTTGTGACTTATAATACCCAATAAAACTATATTGTTCTTCGATATTACTATTCTTTTTGCTTCATATTCTGCTTACTGTTTCTATTTTGCACTTACTTTTAGTTTCTTCTCTGGCTTTGTGTGCTAAGTCAAGTGTGGCGACTCGAACTGCTGCACATCAGTGCAAAGTTCTATTTGAAACCAGCCACTCAGTCAGTCACTCCGTATACCAGAGTAGGGTTCCCAGTAATATCAGCTGATACAAGATGAAGTTGAAAAATTTAATTGTGACTAAGACAAGGTATTGATTTATGAAGTTATCAGTTAATAATCTGGAACATACAGACAGGTGCAGCTTTTCTGACTGGAGTAATTAAGGTGTGAATAACTAATGTCTAAAATCTCTTGGCAACAGATTCTGAAATGGTTCGCAATAGTGATGCTATATTCATTTTTTGTTACAATTTTGGTGATAAATAGCAAAAGAATTCCATGAAAAAATACAGTTTCCCCTTATGATAATTAAAATTTTGGAGAACTTGATTGAGTTTCGTTTATTATTTTATTTCAATATTCTTTTTAGTTGAACGGGATTCTGTTGTCATCCACTTCGTCTTGATGTGCTGACGGAAAATACAGAAACTCATAGTGAAGCAATATTTGGAAAGATTTTTAAGCCATGTTCCACAATAATACCTAATAGATGTAAGTAGTGAGAAATTGTCTGATATGTAAGTCTTGCCGTTGCTCATAACTGCAAAGTAAACATTCTTGTGATAATGATTGTTTACAGCTTTTGTTGTCCAGAAGTAAACAGTTCAGTGGTAATTAAATAACCACATTCGGTCGAACTTCGTGAGAAATATACACGAGTAGATAATAAATAATAAACTTAATTAGGCCCCGATCATCCACTACAACTGTTTTTTTTTCATAGACGGTGAGTCTACCTTCTTTCTTTATTTATTAGCTAATCTAGGGAATTAAAACCCTATGGGTATTTCTTCCCTGTGAAAATGTATGGTAGGTATTCGTAGATTCACGTTTAAGTATTTATTTCAGTTTAAAAAGTAATCATGCAACATCTGCATCCTCAGAGACAAAATGGCATAAACTTTTCAGGGGAGTACTTACCTTTCGTCATTACGTAAGATGTTATCCAAGAATATCACGGAGTAAATCGGAAGCCCATCATGTGGACGAAACACATGGATCGGCCTAAATTACAAAGCAGAACTTAATTAAGAAAAATAAACGGCATTTACTGATGAGAAAAAATAAATTTAATGGAAAGGCACAATGCAATAAAACTTGTCTGACAAATGTATACTGCTGTTAACACACACAAACGTTAATGCCTAATGTCATATTTGGGTTTGCAGGATAACTTTTATCGCAGGGTTTGGAAGTTCCCATTAATGCAGTGTACAAATTACTATGACAATGTAAATCAACTAGTACAGTGTACAGACTAATACATACCTTAGGAAACACATCTTTCGTGAAATAAAGGTTTGGTTATTTGAAATCTCAATCCAGAATTAATGTTCAAAGGAAACACATACACTTACTAACATTAAGGCAGCCACGGTAACACTATTGCCATATTTTTATTTCATTTCTCTGTTCGGTGTTTAGAGGACTGCCATAATCATAATAGTTATTATTATTACTACCACTACTTTTACTATCATTATTGCTACTCCCATCGTTTATCAACAGCATAGCATTCCTCGTACAAGTATCATTTAACATTATACTGTATCTCCACTATTTTGTCCATTTGGGACATTTAGATATATTAGGTCATTTTTTACGCCTGTTGCATGAGGCCGACACCCGTTTCTTAAATACAACTTGTGCATTCCTTTGTAAACTAAGCCTCACGTAAAGTAAAACGTTTTCTAGAACATAAGTACCAATATGTAGCTGGGTTTATGAATTTGTTGAATATAAAAACGGCAGCTTTTCAAAATGATTTGTAGGAAAGAAAATTTTTCTCACTGTTACATCTTCTTCATGACTCAATATCCAACTATCTAATTTATTTAGGTGGTGTGATTAAATCAAAGAAAAACAACTCCAAAGATAACACTACACAGCCCGCAATATGGAAAATTCGATGCGCAATATTTTATAAAGTTTATGACATAAATGAATCAGTGACAGCAACTAAACTGTTTCCACTAACTTGTTCAGGGCGAGTATTACCTTTCACAGAGTCATTACAGAAATCCACTACGTTAAAAGCTCTGTCATGTTGGTTTTTTCACTGTAGTAGATTAGCATTACGTTGGAATTACTACAAAATGTTGATTAGTACATACCGATAGTTCCAATAGATCCGTACAATTAACTATAAGACATATCTTTTCTAAAAAAGGTTTTGAATATTGTTATCATAAAGTCATTTCACTTTATGATGAAGTCGAGGAAAGTAATATTAGCGAGAAACGGGGAGAAGTCACTTCAATGTAAGAAGCGACTTAAAAAGGACATAAAAAGGAGATTATTTACACCTGTTTATACATAATTCTTACAGTATTCAACAGAAAACAAAAAGGTAAACATGCAATCCACCAGTAACATGATATGAAAGTACCACATTATACAAGAATTTCATTGACATTTATAGAGTTAAAAAACTAACCTCAGGATGATCGAGGTATCACCTGAAGGCCGATTCACCAAGGAGTATAAGCATACTTGACCATCTAAGCTGCCTGAAGCTAAACAACTTCCATCCCGACTCAAAGTGATTGCAGTGATAGCATCAGAATGATTGGACATTTCAGCGTAGTACACTGATTCTATCGTACATTTTTTTGCAGAGTCAAGGATTTCACTTTCATTCCAAGTTATCGGTTCCGACGACTGAATATCTTGTGGAAAATGCTTTGGTAGAAGACTGACAACTAACCCCACATCTAAAACTTTCACCTTAGAAATAAGAGAGAAGTATGAAAGAAAAACTTGTTTATGTGGCTTCCTAAGTAAAATATCTCCGTGTAATTATGTGAATTCCGATACTTTTTCAATCAAGTTAGCCATCAGCATCAAACTAAATTACTTAGAAAGCATTTTGAACGATATATAAGCAAGCAATAGAAGAGCTTATGATGAGCAGGTAAGTACCGCAAGACATAAGAAACCAAATTTTACATGCAACTGGCGCTTTCACAAATGATTTCTTCGATACTGTCCATAAACCCAAAAGAGAACTTACTACAGGATTTGTGTCAAGAGAAATATTACATAGTTAGAGAATAAGTTACAAACCATGCATTCTCATAAAAGTTACTGTCAGTTTTGCAAAAGTAATTCAGGCTTCAATTGTGATTGAATTAACATACATAGCATCGAACAGTAAGATTATGTCATCTGCGCCTCCCCAGGAGAATAATCTTTCTTTGGTATCGATGGTAGCGATGACTACCCTAATCACCGTCATTGATGGACTCGAAATATTATAGGTGGTTGTATACCCCCCCTACTAGGTCTTTATATGAGGATTTCAAGACACCTAACAGTCTGCTCCTAGGTTAAATATAACATACAATGATGCTTTTTCAAATGAGACGAGATACCTTACGACAGATTCGATGATGGCTTTGTTGCAGAGCCAATCAGCTACTCGATTTGACTTATATTTTGCCTTTCATATAACTCTAAGGGAAGTTTTCTGGCATATTTAATATCAGTAGTAGTGTGGTGAGTGCTACAAGAGTATGACTTCACGATTGGACATATTCCAAGAAAAGAAAATGTAATAGCTGACTATTTGTCGAGATCAGATAATGAGACTGAACTACCAGAGGTAGCGTATGCAGTAAACGCTTTGGAGCAAGATCCCTTACAACTTGTTTGCCACCAGAAGTCGGATCCTACTCTTAAGACAGTCATTCAGATGATACGCGAAGGGAAAGAAATTGAAATGGCAGCAGAGAATAGAGAGTTAAAGATGCTACTGCAGCAAAAACATAGACTCAAACTAAACGCTGCCGGCGTCCTAACTTGGAAAGACAGTGATGGTAGCTGGGTTACAGTGATACCAAAAAGCCTTCGTCGTGAGGTCATTCAAGAACGCCACCAACTAACCCATACAGGAGTTGCACGAACATACGACCTAGTGAGCCAAAGTGCGTACTGGCCAAACATGAGAGGCGATATTACGAACTACGTACTTGCTTGCCCACAGTGCCAATTGATGAAGGGTGATCGATGCATTCGACCACAGCTACAAACGATACCCGTAACGGCGGTTGGTGACTTATGGTCCGTGGACATAATGGGTCATTTCCCTCAAACAGCCAGTGGAAATCAATACATTTTAATGATGACGGAACACGCCACGCGGTGGGTAAATGCTGTAGCGATTCCAGATCAGCGCGCCAAGACCGTAACCAAGGCCGTCATTCGACATATTGTGGCGGATCATGGTGTACCGAAAATGATATTGACAGATCAAGGCCCCTGTTTTGAAAGTGAGGAGTTCAAGACTCGTCTGGAGGCACTGGGTATTAAGAGAATTAGAGCGACTCCGTATCATCCGCAGACAAACGGCTTAACCGAAAGGAATAATCGTACACTCAAGGAATAGCTGGCTGCGAAAAGAGGCAACTGGGAAACTGACTTACCGTTGGTATTACTAGCACATCGTGCCACAATACAAGGAACAACAAAAAAATCGCCTTTCCAGCTGATGTATGAGGAAACCACGCTTACCGGTGCACCATAAGACTTGGCCACAACAACAAAAATGGAACAGTAAGAGATGGACAAGTGAGCGGAAACAAGCTATTCAGAATATACAAGAGAAGCCCAAGATAGACATCGAAAATTATGGCAAGAAACAAATCAAAGCTTGGAAGCTGTTTGAAGTAGGCGACCAGGTGAAGCGTAGAGAACGAAAGTATACTACCGGAAGTGGACCAGGATCAGGAAAGCTTCTGCCAAAGTGGGAAGGACCATATGTGGTCACATCGAGACGCGGTCCAGTGTACACAATAAAGAGAGGAGATAAAGAGAAAACAGTAAACGCCAGTCTGCTAAAAGATGGAGACAAGAATGTCAAGACGAGGAACCTGAAGAACAGCAGAATGAAATGTCTGTGCGGCGATCAAGGCGGTTACAGGAGAGACTTTATAATGAGGGGGCGAGTGTGGTGAGTGCTACTTATAATCCGACATAAGTAGTATACCAGAAACGAATTCAGAAAAGTAACAATATCTTTTGCACACTGGAAAGAGCAATCAAAGAAGAGAACCATAAGAATGTTGCCATATGATGCAGAATCCAAGAAGCTATCGAATGTGACCATATTCGACCAATTCGTCAAGGATGTGGTAAATGATGTGCAAATGGCAGTTTGAAAATATGGTGTACCAAATTTACCTATGTACAATACTTTTCACCAAATAAACATTCCTTTCAGCCTCCTCGGTCTTTTCTTCTTTACAGTAGGACTAGAATGTGACGATGCAGACTAGTGTACTCTCACCTTGTGTCTTCAGTAAAGGTTACCCATTAAATACTTCAACTATGACTAAATTGTCTCAGTTCATTTAATTCTGACCTAAGAAACTTAAAACGATTTGCTTTGGGTGATTTCTTATTAAAGTTTTCTTCTTGCCCATAAAAGTCGTGTACTACATAAGATATGTGAGAACTCAACTAGCAGCGCCTAATGGAAGTATGAAAAACACGCGAAATTAGATGATATGAAAAAAACAAAGATGATAAACCTGTAAGATTTTATGGTAAAAATGATGTGTGAAAACGAGTTTCACTGCCTGGTTTACAGGAAATGCACTTTTAATTAAGTGGTAACCGAAAGATCCAATTACTTCCCTTAAATAATTAAAATCAGATTTGTCAACTATAAAAATGAATACGAATGAAACAAGTGATAGTACCAGAACTGAATACACTAAAAAATGAATTACAAATGAAAAAATATACGGATTCTCTGGTACACAATCATACAGCTAGTGAAATCGACATGAACTTGTGGAGAATATATAACAATGAAAACACTTTAGATTTCATTTAGAATTGCATATAAGACTCACCTTGTGGTGAACAGAAAACGCAATCACGAGACTCGGATCATTTGATAGTTTGTATGCATCGCTATAATTTTCAGGCGTACACAGAACTGGAGCCTTGCTACCAGAAACCCATGGGCACCATGTGAGTGAGGCAACGTCTAAGGGAACGAAGTTATCAGGTGGTTTCAGTGAGAAAAAAAGCGACGAAGTCATTGGATCTGAGCCAACCGATCCCTGATCAATCTGAAAATTTCGCAATTAAAATAATAAAGGCTGGACAAACATGGAAAATATTGAGGGCTCCAGAGTAGTCAAGGACGGCCAATAGAGCTTCTTGACGCATCGCGAAATCCAAATATATGATACGGTCAGCAAACGAGCGCAAAAGTAGTTTCTGACCTGTCTCTATGTTCAAGAGTCGGACCATTCCTAGGTGTGTTTCATCTTCAGAATCTGATTTTTTAACATCTGTGGAAAAATATAATTTAGCCAATCATTCCTTACGTCTGATTGCATATGCAATTAGTGCACTAGCATGGTGTCTCGAGATCAGCCGTGTTACACAATACTGGTAGTCCCAAAAATATTTAACAGCTGGTTGAAGGCTTATCTGTTCACAGATATCGATAAAATCTACAGTAAATGATTACCTTGCTGCTAGCTGAAATATCTACAGCATCCAGTGAACTTTTAGCACTGGGAAATATGTCGACAATAGAAGAAAAAGTGTCCCTCAAGTTATCTTCATCATCCCCAGTGAAATGTCTGCAAGCTGCTAGCGGGAATACCTAAATAAAACTTACATCTCTTGTTTCCCCCACATTTGAAGTCACTGTAGTACTTCTCAAGGTTCTTTACATATGTAGCAGCAGATTAAAACAAATTTCCCAACCCCCACCCTTCACACTTCAAATCAGTTGTTTCAACTGAAAAGTCTTATTTTAATGTTCGAAAGTAGAATTCAGACTTGTCAGGCAGAGTGTAATTAGCCTAAAATAACTTAAAAGAAACCATTTGAAATTTTCGAAACCTTTGCCATGTCCATTGATATCAAGCTTTTGTAACTGTTTTTCGTTTAGTTTCGAACATCTTAATCCATGGCATATTTCTGCGTAAAAAAAACTGCAAACCAAACAATACTTCGTCCTTATAAGCTATCGATCATTTGGGTGTAGGAAATTCTACTAAGACGCCTTCTGAACTGAACGTACTAAAGTTTTTACGAGCTAGCCTGATCTAATTTGGTTTATTCGTGCTCGCCTCTTGTTGCAAGGTAAAGGTTCCTGGCCCTTGACAAACTTCCATCGTAGATTTGGTTGACTACAAAGGAGTGGTGCTATGACTGATTATGTGGTTCATAGCATACAGTGTGTAAGGACTGTCGTTACTGTAAATGCAGCTGGTCCTCTCACCTGTAAATCATCCTTTGTGGTCGAAAAGAGACATAACCTTGATGATAACATCATATAATGTATGCAGATTGTGCAGACTTAAAAAAGGAAAACGCGAAGACAGACAGCTAATGAAATTCGAAACTTATATCAGAGGTCAATAATAGTGTGGTGAGCGCTGGCAGCAAACCACAATTGTAAACAGCAATTTACGTCAGTGTTACGTCCCGAATCAGGGCCATGGGAAAATTAATAACAAAGCTTAACCGCGAGTATTTCACCAACCAATCACAGCAGACTTAACGTGTGCAAACACGATTCGCAGATATATGACTTAACTTTCTGAGAAACGGTGGCAAGCAGTAAAGTATAACATTCAGCAAGAAAACAACCAATCAGAAGACGTTGATTCTTCGATAACAATAATGCACATAAAGATCCATAAATACCTCTTGATTTTCTCAGTAAACGACCTGTTGCCTGGTCCTTGTTTCCTGTCGTTACAACGTAGCCTTTCATGATTGTTCGGTATTTCTTAGCTATCTAAGGCATGGTGAAATGAGAGAACTGTCTCTGACCCACCATTTTGTTTTGGCCACAATATAACCCAACCAAAACTCGTTCTATCAGAAAATGTTTTCCTTCTTCCCCTTAACTGTTGCTGCAGAGCCTTAGTGCCTCGGAAACATCACAACGATTCTCAAGACCGATCGTTTTAGTCTTAATACGTAACAGTCCAATAACTTTCACATGTTTCTTGGCCTTCAGCTGTTCTTCAGTGAGGGGTTGCCCGGTGAATACAAATAAGCGAAGGACCGCATATGCCTTAAGTATCTCTCCCGGGTCTCTTTCATTTAAACAAAATAGCTGCAGAGCGACATCAACACAGTTTTGCTGCCAGACTCCATTTATCCTCCCTATATTAAGTTGCGAGTCGTTTCCACTAATACCTCATTTTCCACAGACTTCTAAAACTACAGACGTGTCCGAACTACTCTTCAGAAGAGGAATCGTTTTCAGATAGCTTTTGGGACCACATAGCTTCACCAGAAACATCCCGAAATAGACCTTCCGAAAATCCGGTTTATGTCCAAAAGGAGTGGCTTTATTGCATATCCCCGCTAACTAAAGCAATGAAATCCAATATTATGTTGGTTTAATGGCAAGTAATAATTTTTGAAGCTCTTTAAATGAAATTTCGCATTGAAATTTTTCTTCCAAGATCCAGAATACATCAAGCGACCTCTGTCATCTCGTCCATAACAAAAGACATCTCCCATAACCCATACTGTCTGTTATCATCAAGTGAAACAGAAAATATTTCAGTAAGACTTCTCAGCCACTTCACGTATAACCTAGCAGTCATTATTCGAACTGTATGTTGAATCAGTATGTGCTACTTCCACATGCTTGCTATCAAAGTGTACTTGTGAATGCAAGGAAGGGCAAAATCCAGTACGTACTTGTGTATTCACTTCTATTCATTCAACCTCCTGGCCACTTTGCTAAATTATACGCATAACGTCTGGTTTCAGAGGAATGGCTATAACAAATAACTATAAACCGCATCCCTGCGTAAATTATGCAAATTTGTATTCCTTGAAATCTAACTGAAATTATCTTCAGCATATTTTGAAGCATCGCCAACCTAGATGTAGTTTACAGAAAGGTGCGGCGTTTTCCTTTTCATCAAAAGGCGGAAGCCTAAAATAAGGATCACTTACCATAAGACTGTGTTCACAATTGTCACTAAGGACTGCTTTAACGGCGAAAATGACAAATCCGTCCGCCTTGTAGCATAAATGAAAGCAAGATAGGCAACTAGTGTACTTTGTACTGCAGAAAAGATGATGGAATTATTACGGCCGGACGCGCAAACATGAACCTCTAGTCTTTCGCTTCATTCCTTAAGTACAACGAAAGACTACTAATCTGCACTTCAACTCCTGAGATTCGTGGCTCCTCTTGCATTTCCTCATTACAGAATGTGTGTAAGTAGCCCAGGTATTCTCCGTCATATATATGACAACTACTGCTTCTGGTTGACTCATGACGTCTACTCGAAATCAACTGTTATATCGGTGACTAACCATAATTCTGACAAAAACTTTGTGATGTTCATGGATATGGGGACACCAGGTTGGCTGGCGTTTTCTCCAAGGGCAGACGCATCCATTGTTTATCACTGTGAACTTGAATACAAGCGTTTTGAATTAAATATTCACGAATTGTCAATAGTAGAAGGTTCGCGAATTAAAAGTGACAAGGGTATGGAAACTGTCGTGAAATGCCTCACCAGAACTATCGTTTTGCAAAGCTACTGATTATGGTCACAAGCACTTACTGAAACGTTCCTGGACGACAGATATGGATAAAAGTAATAACACGAAGCTGCATAGAAATCATTTACATGCCAGTCACAGAAACTCACACCAGGTATACTAAGTACACCCAACAACTTTCCCATGAAACACATTTTCAAGCATCCTGCTAAACAAAAAATGCATTCATACTTTAAGGCAGTGTTGAATTACTATTCTTAGAGAAATCAACCCTGTTCAAGCCAATAAACACCAAAATCACATCAAATACAGCTACCTAAACCAAACGAATCAAACTAGCCGGACTCGAATCAACTTAACCACGCCAATGTCCACAAGATAAAGCAGGTGGTGCCACTTCGAATAGGAGGTATGTCAAATATTTGCCCGTTAAGAAAGTGTTACCGAAATAACGGCTCCATCATTATTATTCAGATGTAGTAGTGTGTGATAGCGCACCTTGCATCCACTTACATTACACTTATTTTGCGAGAGACAGCATACTGCGGTGTTGCCCGATTTGAGACAGATGTCACAAACATTTAACTTCCCAAAGGTTGGTCTCCTCTCATCAACGTTTACATACTCCAGATTCAGACAAACCACTGGGCCCTGAGAACCTCTACATAAAATCCAAACTTCAGATTCATTTAGGACGCTTTCAGGCGACTTTGTAATAAAATTAATTTATATTTCGTATAGACTGGTAAGTTTACAAGAAATGCATGCCATAGACCGTTTGACTAAACTACAGTGAGACACACAATACTGCTTCCCTGTAGCCCTCCTTTTCTTAGCAACTGTGTTGTATTTAAGAAACATTCCATAAAGTATCCGAGAGAATCCTACTCTTTCTTCCACAAACTAATCCATATATTTGAATTCCGGCTGTCTACCGGGAATACAGGTTCTGCCCGCCATGTCAGCTCATTTCAACTTTATTTGAGTACAGATATGGTTATAGGAGAGTTCGGGTCGGAAGTGTACTCAACGTTAGCTAACGTAACACGAGAGCTACGAAGTCTTATCACAAACTCACTCTGAAAGGCATGTTACCATTTTTTCTCTATCACGTAATCTGCTCTCGATAATACTTCGAAAATGACCATAAAGCATTTTGTACATGCTAGAGTTTCCATCAAAGTACATTATGTCAACTCTTATCATGTTCAAACTACTAACAACAGGGCCGTATGATCCCTTTAAGTTTGAGAACAACTCAGCCCTTTTCCTGTCTCTTTAACTACTCTCCTTTATCTGAGATAACTGGTGAGCTTGAAGATGAGGTGACTCAACTGATCTTCAAATTCTCACCTTCTTAGCAACTTATCCTTAAATTGCGGATTAAATGGAAGATCCTTACCATAATTGCAACTATTACGTGGATCACAGAGACGAGCGTAAACATAGTCAACAATCACTCCAGTACAAACTCTATCAGTCAAAGATTGAGGTAAAACCGAGTCCTCTAGCAGGGGTCTGCTCTTTTATACTTTCGAAAAACTTCGTCCTGAAGTAGGCTTAGGTTATTATTTGGTCATTCTTTCCAGTCAGAATACACAGCCAGAGTCCATAAGGTAATTCAGAGAGCATTGTGTGCTCGGCCAAACCTAACTTAAGAACTTGAAGCTACACGAGCTACATGATCATCTCTATAAGAAGGTGCAACTTACAGCCTTCATTCTAAAATTCAAATATGTATTTATTCTTAAAAATTGTCATATTTGACAAATTGTAGCAGAACATTATGGTAAAAGCCTTTAAATTTGACGTTATCCGGCATCCTAGTTTCAGAAACACAGTGGATGAATACAAAATGGCTAGCAGTTAAAAAATTTGGACGCAAACAAGAAATGTATAACAGTCCAATGAGCCATTACTTTCATGCTTTATTAGACATACCGTTCACTACCTTGAGCCATTTCAGTATTTTTAATTCCTTATATGTTATTGAGCAGTTGTTTACACAACAATTTACAGTACATCTATCCATGTGAACTGCATCATCTATCTGGCCGAGAAAGTCAATCGGTATTTGCATGACGCCACTGTCAAACAGTCCACGTTTGAAGCCAGGCAAATTGGTAAGCCTTTTATCAGTTATTAAATTAGGAACCATCGAATGGCTACTTTAAAATTATCAGATCACTTC